CAAATATGTGTGTCTATGATGCTTTGTCACTGTAAGCATTTGAATTGGCTTCTTAATATGCTCAATAGATCACGACAATAAAAACTAGTTCAAGGTAGACAGTGGTACAGTGGCTAGTGCTCTTGCCTTACACCATCACAAGTCACACGTTTGAACCCTGGTGAATAATTGTTTCACCTACAGTCTACAGTACTATTACAAGTTGACCATACAGTATTTTATTAAATGTTTAACAAAATACATCAATACAATTCGCTCTTATTTTCTAACTAGATGCTAGCAGTTTTCATGCTAACATGTAACTCTTTTTAGTTTCTTACTTTGTCTTGCATTTGGCTAACACTTCTGTTGACTTTAAATTTTGTATGTTTACAGCAGCTTGTACTTTCCTACCTTTAAGCTAACAGTTACAGTAGCTGTCATGCAACAACAATGTCATTGTGTCGACTCTGAAAGCTGGAGTCTGGATATTTAACTATGAGGTTTTAACTATTTATTTACGTTGGCATTAAAAGCCCCCAGGATTACATTTCTAGGGCAAATTCAAATATTTTAACTAGAAATTAACTCTGAGTGAAAGGGAATTTCTAATGGAGACACAGTAAGATGTCCTGAGTTCCAGTTTGCTAAAATAACCAGCCGTCCATACGCTGCTTGTGAGTGATTTATGCTTCTGCTTCCAGCAGACTGTGGAAAAGAAAAACAAAAAAAAAATCTAATAAAATAAAAATAAATAAATAGCAGCAGTGGCTTTACCGCAGCTGGGCTTAGTGCCTTTGATTGAAGTCAGCCTCAGCTAACATGAGTGTGTGCTGAATACCAAGAGTGTGCTGTCTGTTCACTGCTGCACCAACACATTTCTCTGTGTCACTAACAATGAAACATAACTCTGACATGTCTGTTTGACACTGCAGCCAAACTTTATCCCACAGCAACTTTTCTGCTTCTCAACATGACACCACACACTTCACATTTCTGCTGTTGAAAACACCTCAGCTACAAAATGATTTCCTCCTGAATACATTTGTCAGCCTTTCTGTATTTTTTTAAATATGCATTAAAGTTGTGTTTAAGTCAGTTAGAGTTAACTGAGCACTAACCACTGTTCTACTCTGCCACACAACATTTTATTACGTTAACTATAAAACATTTTACCTCTTCAGATGTCACCATTTTAAACATGGAGATTTCATCAGCAAAGAGAATAAACAAGAGGGTGTTTGTTTCATTTGTCATAATAGTGGATTCTTTTCTCTCTTTACTTTTACTGTTTTACTCTGTCCTTAATTACCTCCTGGGGGACAATTAAAGCTTTGGAATTCACTTTTACCATCTTTGGTTATTTAAAATTTAGCTTACATTGCTATTTTGTGTACTTTTCAAGTTTACTTCTGACTAAGTCTTACTTATGATTGATGATGAATCTTATTGATTTTTTATATGTATATTTAATAGCATCTTTAGCTAATATTTTTAGCAAACGTCTGTTTAACCATTAGCTGCTCATTAGCTTATTTTTACCTATATGTCTAAATGAAGACGTTCCTTTAAGCAAATTTTATACCTTTTACCCACCTTTTCACACATTCCTTCTCAAACTGGGGTTAAACTCTTATTGTGACCTAACTTATGGTAAACTATATGCTGTATGCTATTCTAAGTTAATTTTTTGTCATATTTTTATTATCTTACGTTATCATATTTTGCTGTATTTTTGTCCAACATTACGCTAATGATGGGCTAATTACGGCTCTTGTTAAAGTTTTTAAACTGAATCCATAACCCTGATAAAATAGTAATTTCATTCTTTATACTTTTTGCCTTCCTTTTTTTAATCATTAGAACACATTAGAAAGTTCTTTTTTTTTTTTTTTTTTGTTAGCTATGTGACACCAGGGCGGCAGCTGCTTCCAAATTCTTTCCTTCATTTAATATGACCAAAGTCTAAACTGGAGGGTTTCTAGAGATTAAAATTGATGTAAAGAAAAAGTCACAGTGATAAAGAAGCAATTGTTGGCAGGTTTTGTTCAGGGACTTCCTGTTCCTTATACAGTAAATCTTTTAGCTCCAGCTTTGTACTCCTGCCTCCCACTAAAACTGATATACAACTGACACGTTCACAAAGTTTTGGTAGCAGAGCGACCAAAACTTTGTGAAAGTCTCCATACTTGGGTCTTGAGGCCAGGCTGGTCTTATCTTGTTATAAAGAGAACAAGTGATAAGTAGCACAGTCTCCTCCTCTACACGGCTTTGATCTGTTTTCCTTTTGTGGTCGTTTTTTGCTCAGCCTTGTGTGATGAAGTTGTAGGTAGTTCAATGGAACCGTGTTTATCTTATCCATCCCGTTTCTCTACAGTGACACAGCCAGTGCATACGGATAATAGAATTGTATTACCTGCTCCGTGATTCTATCATCCATTGTAACATAAAACAGGTCAGATCACGCTGGTACCATGACCTTTGAATGACTTCACTGAAGAATCTGTACAATGAACAAGGTGGTTTATTATGACGTGGAACAAAAACAGGCAACGACTAACAGAGAGAGGAAAGCTGGTCTGAATCATCATCTACACCATAGAGGTGGAAACACCAAACAAAAAGCTACCAATCACAGGTATCCTGCAGATCTGGGCAAGAAACCAACATGTTAGTAAAATATAAGAAAGCTTATTTAGGCCTACCTACAGTCCATAATTGAAATAGGAAAAAGCTAGTATTTTATTTGACGTAAACATTAAAGTGGGAATGGGATTTATGTCCAAGTAAACACCACACACCAGGCTGTATAATCTCACACTGTAACTCACATGTTCTAATAAACAATTATCTTCCATTTTATTTGACCACTCTATGAATCAGATACCTGTTTAAATGTGTGGCAGGTGGAACAGAACTATTTCTACTCTTATCCTGGAGAAAGAAGTAACATGGCAAGGAAAAAAAAACATGTTGAATCTCATTGTGAGGAAAGAGGGCGAACAGTAAAGAGGACAAATCTCCTTGTCAGTACTAATCACTGCTGCATAATGTGCTGCACTTTTTCAATGTCTTAATAAAAGCTTTCATCCAGTTCAGGCTGTAATCTGTCAGCAGTGACAGTCCACAACGTTTTCTTTCAGATTCTCTCGATAAAATGCTTTACACACGTTACCAGATATCAACGTCTGTGCACAGAATCAGATTGCAGAAACACTTTATTGTGTTACAAATAATAAAACATACAATAATAAAATACAAAGATCAAATCCACAAAGATGTAAAACATATAAATGTGATCAGTTTTACAGACAAAATAAGGTTACAGAGGATCTTAGATCAGGGTTCCTGATTGTTACAAAGAGGAAATGAAGAAATGCTATCAACGACCTTGTGACGTCACCGCAGAGGACGACGGATTGTTGACTTTTCTCAATGCATTTCTGTTTCAAGGCCAAACAGAAGCCTTGGAACAAAAGTTTAAAAAAAGGTTTTTAAAAAAACAACTAAATTTGCGTTCTGAACTAATGAGATGATTAAATGGAGTTAAATAAAGAATTGATCTTAAAAATGGTAATTCCAACAAATAAAAACAAAATGAATAACTCAACCTTAAAAATATTTAAAGAGTTTAAACATAGTGGTGTCAACGTCTCTTCCTCTTCTCCGACGTCTTTTCCAGCACCCAGTCAATGACCTTCAGTAAAAGAAAAGATCATTTCACAACATGTTTAATTTTTTTAAAAGGAATCTCAAATCTCAGTCAGATTAGCCGTGTCTCATCTTCAGTGTGATTACCTGTTTGACGTTGCTGCTGGCTGCTTTCTTCATTTCGTCATACAGACCACGAGACGTTTTCAGATCCTGGAATCAAAGAAAAGATAAATCACTGCAACTGAAACACTGAGGTTCACTTACAAGTTTATCGAGTAATTTATTCATCAATCACAGATTAAAGCAGTCTTTTAACAAAAAACGTGGACCATTTACATTCATCTATCATAGTTGTTTAACTAGGATTAGTCGATCAAATTCATCTAATAATGATATTATAAAAACATGAATGATTTACTCAAACTAATTCACTTCGCATTACAGTATGGAAAGAAAGAACGTACACGTCATAAAATACAAACAATGCAATTATTACACTGCAGTATAAAAAACGTTACAAAATACAGATCTTTTAGTTACTCCCTGAGCTGCAGAGTTTTACAACTTTGTCGCTATGGTATCGCTATACAGGAAGTTAAAAAACAACAGAAAGGCCTGCATTTTTAAAAGTACAATACTGACATAATATCCAGTTTACCTGACAGGAAGTATTATGTTATATTTATTCATGTGATGGTCTTGATCTCTGTGGAGTAGCGGTGCAGGATTAAAGATGGCGGCGTGGAGCAGCTGGCTGGAAACAAACGACGCAAACGCAAGAACGCGCAAGAGTACGAAAAGCGTTGCAAACGTTTTTATGACCATAGATGTGGATCTTTTAGACATTCAAGATTTCTTGAAAGAGCTGGAAGACTTCCATCTTTAAATAATAACACGTTCATCAGTGACATCAGTCATATTTCGGCTAACTTTTAGCCGTTTGTCTGGTAACCATTTTTCTTGCAGTTTCATATTATATTTTGCACCTATTGGAATGAAATTCATTTGTTATGGTTTGGCTGAAAAAGCCTAGTTCGACCTCTTTTTTGTGCAACATTCTAAAGGCTATTATTTTTTGACAAGCATATATTATTGACAGACACAGGTGTTGAGTGTAAGAGACATTCTAAGACTTTAAAAAGACTAACTACATATTTACTAGTTTCTTCCTTGACCTCTGGTTTCATCTTAATATTTTTACAGTAATTAGATAATTATTTCAGAGGAGGGAAATGTGGGGGTTTTTTGGAGAGCCATTAGAAAGTCCACTGTTCAGACCAGCAGTGGATGTGATGTTTGTGGAGAGACACACAGATGGTGAAATAAAAGGACAGCACAGTCTGTGTGTAGCCAGTGAAGAGACTCACCTTGAGATAGAATTTGGAAATATCAAACAGTCTTTTGCTGCAGGCGTCAAAGCACTGGTGCTCTGCACTGATCCCATGGTGTTTGAGTGTTTTTTCCACCACCTCCTGCAACATCTGAGGACAGAGACACACATTTGTATACACATAAAAAAGACATTGAATCAGGTTGGGCCCAAACCATCTGACACTAAACCAGTTCAGAGGAACTAATGCAAGCATGGCTTCGTCAAAGTCAAAGTGTCCAGGTTCTGGGGTGATGTCCTTTGTACAGAGTTTTGTCTTTATATTCTGTTTGTGTGTGTGTGTGTGTGTGTGTGTGTGTGTGTGTGAGCTCGGCTCGCTTCCCCTGCAAGCACAGGAATATTTCAGTGGCAGCACTGACAGGGAAAACCCAGTCCTGGAATAAACAGATTCCACATTAATCTTGTCACAGCGACTGTTGTGAAACACAGGATAAATTACTGTGAGGAGTCAGTGGTGCCACTCAGTCTGTGCAGCATCAGAGAGGCAGCGTTTAATCTCTCTGCCGTAAACTGCTCTTATTTATTCCTGAACCTGTTCCTCACTGTTCTGCTGTTTGGATGATGGGCTCGTTAGCATATGTAATCAGGAGTCAGAACAAGTCAAGGTTGGGAAGCAGATTGTGGAGAATCGTAGTTACAGCAGGAGGCTGTGCAGCGCTGGGTGTTTGTGTTTGTACTTGTGTCAGAGATACAGTATATCTAAAAACAAAGTCTGTGTGTGTGTGTGTGTGTGTGTGTGAGAAGTTAATCTGCTAAGGATACACTATCAATATATCTGTTAAAGTGATTCTGCAACAACATGATGACATCAACACATTTTCAATGTCATGACACACTGTTAGAACATTAATCACCTGCTGTAAGTGTGTGTGTGTGTGTGTGTGTGTGTGTGTGTATGCATCGGCATAGTGAAAAACATGTTTACTTTTGAAAAATGTATGGATTATCTCCCAGTTTCTTCCATCAATAAAAACACCTACAGTATATGATTAAACCGTATTAAACCAGTGTTCTGGATTAAAGTTTTGCGATATTTAAAAAACAAAAAGAAACAAAAGCAATCTTAAGGTAGTGATGGAGAGCACAAACTCTTCAGAAACAGATTACATATTATTGTGGTAGTGATGGAGAGCACAAACTCTTCAAAAAACAGATTTTTGTTGTTGCATATTATTGCATATTGACTTGGAAATAGCCTAATTTTACCATAAACTTCTATTTTAACACTGCGTTACTTCTGAAGTCAGGTTAAATACATAGGCCTCCCAGGGCAATACTCATGTTTTATAGACGAGTACAACTGGAAATTTAAACCCAAAATGAAACCAAAGAATAATCTCAGAATTAAACACAGCAAAAATCCTTAGAGCCTCTTTTAATATCACTGATTTATATGGCTGTGAATTACCTGAAGTTATGACTAGAATATGATTCAGCACCTTTGACAGTGAGTCCGACTGCGTAAGATATAATGTGTAATTAACACTAACCATGTTGAAATGGGTTTTTTGTTTATTAATAAATCATAAAGGGGGGTGTTCTTAGATGTGAAAAATATTTTTCCACAGTCCACTGTAAGTCATATTCATCACTTCATCACTTCGTTATTTTTGACACGGTGTGATGAAAATGTGTTTCCATGGTTACAATCATTAGAATTTATCAAGCATGATTTTATGTTTTTTTTACCCACTGTCCATGTTTGCTGCATTAAAAAAGTTTTTTTTTTTTAAATCTTTAGAGAATGCGATAGTCACTCACCCTGTTGTGTTTCTGGGAGCGTGACTCTTTGGCAGGTTTGTCCTCTGATGGTGCAGGATGTGTCTGCTGCTGCAGTTTAGGTCTGTCTACTGAAGGGTGTGTCACCAAACCTGCAGAGGTAACAATTCATTTGTTAGACTTCATGCTAAAACGGCTGCTTATTGAAGCAGTGAGGTGGAAACACTAAATGGAGGAGTTTTGACATAATGTTCCTTTTTAGAACTTGCCTCAAAAGTAACAGAATAATCTAATAGACTCAGACTGTTCCCTGGTATATTTTTTCATCAGTACTTGTTTTTTTTTTGGTGAGTGTGAACAACCCTGGCCTCACCAACCACTCTTAGGTATTGAAGAATACAAAGGCAGACATGTTACCTGAGGATGTTCGTCTTGTGACTAAAGTAGACACAGCACCAATGGACGTGGACGTGGACGTGGACGTGGACAGAGATCTGCTGGGCTGTTGTCTAAGAGACCTGACTGTGGGATGTGTCCCACTGCTGTTACTGCTCATAGAACAGAGCGAATCACTGCTCTCCGACTTCACCAGCCTGCTCCGTTCAGACAGAAACACACAAGCTTATCAACAAAAACGACCACATTGAGGCATTTAAATCAAATCACAAGCCAAACTTCCTCCGTCACTGCACCTCTTGCGAGGAACTCCACCGACATCTGTGTCCCAGGATCTGCGTTTCAGCCGTGCTACGTCAGCATTCTGAAGAGTCTCCCCATCAGGAACACTTCCTGGTTCGGACATCACAGCTGGGGAGGGGGCAGGGCTGAGGGCAAAGGGCAGGGGACAGGGCTCTTTGCTGCAGGTGGTTTGAGTCTCATGGCGGATCAGACGGGACTGCAGCCGCACAAATGCCTGGTCCCGATCCAAGGACTGTTGATTGTCCAGGCAAAACCTGATCGAACAAATAGTATATTAAAGTTGTAGCTTTTAAAAACACAGCTGAGAACAGAGCTGGGTTTTCACTGACCCTGATAAATGTTCCGTAGTCGTACTTTAAAGCACTATTTAATGACTAAAAGCTGGAAAGATTCTTACTGGATTCCATGGTAATGTAACACTGAGGCCTTGCTGAAGGGCATCTGGCTCAGCCTCCCTGGAGAAATGTCTGATGACAACCGAAAGACATTATTCCTGAAAAGAAACACGGGGTGTAAGACAAAGAAAAGAATAATATTTGCTTCTTGTTTTACAATTATTATTTTTTATCAAAACAAACAGACACTTCCATTTTATTCTGGGAGCTTAATGAGTATGATTAAATTCTCATTACAACCTCATTAAACATGTGTCATTCAAACATTAGGAGAGCAACGTGGACGTTAGTTCATTTGGTTTGTTTTGGGTTGTTGTCTATTGCTCTTCTTCTTTTAGTGAATCTTTATCAATTTAATTTTCATGACTCTACCCTCTGTTGATGGGCAGTGGTTGTAGCTCTGCAGTAGGTAAACCATCAGATGTGAAGTGTTTCAGAAACTCTTTGGCATCGAGCAGAGCTGCAGTTTTCTGAGCGTCTTTAGGACCAAGCAGGTTGTCACTGGAGCCTGGACCTAACAGTCCAAATCTGAAACAGTAAGAGTAATAATCATGGTAATAATCAACGAGATGTTTGAGGATTACTCATTATTTAAGGCATGAAACACTTTGCAGAAAAAAAAGGTCTCACTGACCTGCTCTTCTGCCGTCTCCTCTGCAGGTTCTCTATGTTGTGAAGGACGCTCCTCTCAGGACAGTCAGATGGCTGGATGACGTCAGACTGAAGAACTGCATTAGCAAGAAAAAAATATTCATAAGAGGTGCAGATGTTGGATAATTAAATACTTTTACTTTACATTCAAGGTATTTGACCAGTGCTTCTATGTAGAGCAAATCATTTTTAACATCACATTTTTTAAATGGAAATTACTCTATATTTAGACTAAACGAATATAAAATTTGATGATTACAAAGCAAGAGAGGGAAATATGTTATATGTAAAAATTTCTAACATTTATATGAGCAACAATCACAAAAATGAAACTAAATTAAATCCCACTTATTCCCAAAAATGGAAACAGCAGGCTTCGTATGTACTACGGGGATGAACTCAGGTCAGAGGAATATGTCATGTCCACTTTTGTGTCACAGCAGGATGGAACTTTATCCAGAGGGAAACAAAAGCTAAAAGCTGTAGATAAAGCTGTGTGCAGCAGCAGCCCCCGCCCCTAGTGTGTTTTACCTACATAATGACCCAGGCTCATAAGTACATAATAATGCATAAAGAAAAAGTGAGGCTGTGCGCGGCAGTCTGTCAGCCCACACAGTCATTCACACCCACAGGCCATACAGACTCTCAAATATATGAGATTGCTTATGGATTGCAGGAGCTATTTATTGCTGTAAATGACATCAGTAGACCTGGGGGTGGGCACCAGTCACTGAAGAAAATAAGTACAGTTACTATTTGTACATGTATACACTAACTGTACCTCTGGCTTTTGACCAGATAAAATACAGCAACTGTTGGATGTAGAAAGTAACACAAAAGAGCTAATGGAGACTGCTCTGAAGACAAATGTCACTTTGATTGCCTATTTTAAATTAATGAACTTTCACTCACAGACAATCTGGAACAAACTCCCAATCTTGGCACTATGAGAGTTAATCAAATACACATTTTAATGCCCATTGTTTTGCTGAGAAGTCCCCACCCAAATTAATGGAAAATAATGTCAAAACATTTCCAACATGAAAAGCTCGGGTCTATTAGACCCATGGCTAAACTCCTTTCTAAAATGAGTCCTGTCAATGCTCTGCCCATGTAGCTGGAGGCTTCAGACTGGTGCTACTGCCAACAGTTTATCTGCATATGATTAGATGGCATCGTTTCCTTAAAATGTCATCCAGAGACTGTGCATGTAGAGAATACTAATGTACGACTTCCAAGAAATTCAACAGGAAGTGAGGATATGTGTTTCACTGAATGAGTAAACAACAAAGCAATACAATTTGCATAAAATTTACAATTACAAAAACATTTGAAAATTAATTGTCATTTTGAGAAACAAAAATGGAAATGCAGAGCAGTTTGTGCGGTGTGAAGCAGTGTTTTTTTTTAATAGGTCACTCAGAAAATAATATATAAACATTTGTTAAAACCGCTCTGTACCTGTTTTCATGACTGTTTTCTGCTCATCTGTCAAACAGGTAGCAGCAGGGGGCAGAGTGGAGTCCAGCAACTTCAGATACTGCTCTCTGGCCAGATTTAGAATGACCTTTACATCGCTGACTGAGGTCGAAGTGGACGAAGCTTCTCTCTGTTCTAGAGAAACACAGAGGGAATAGGGTTGAGTTTGGTAACATAATGAATTTAGCCGATGACTCACTGATTTAGTTTATTATTTTCATTATTTTCAATGTAATATAAAAGTCATACTGGGTGAAATGTTTAATCTTATGAATAATGTCCATAAAAATAAAGGCTGGTTATGTTATGATCTCTTACTTGATTAACATTTATTTGATATCAACTTAAAGCAAAACTGAAATAATAATAAATGCATGAAGGTAATCCCAATTGTATTTCTCCTGGTTTAATACCTATGCTATTGCTCCCGGTGTCATGTCAGAAACTTTAAACTTCAATTGCCTGGGAGTTTGAGAAAATTCACACCAATTCACTGGAGCCGTCTCTGTCCTCGGAACATTTAATGAGCCTGAAATGGTGATATTTCAGGTTTCTGTAGCTGTAGAGAGGTGTGAGTTCACACTGACAACAATTCAGGTGAGGACAGGTTTTCTGTCCTTTTGCTCCAAGGACATAATGCACAGTGGTATAAAGACAATTTATGGTAACGAGTTCATAGGAAACTAGAGAATTTCTGCACTCCTTTTGTCTGATGTTGAAGTCTGTTGTGGGTAGTGGAATAACAACAGTCTGTTGTTATTGTGCATACACTGTACGGTAGTTTAGGATGACAGAAACAATGAATCAACTGTGTATAGTGTCTTTAGAGTTGATTAAAAAAGTTTAGTGAAGAGGGAGGAAGCATTGTGCAGCAGCAGCTGCTGCTCTTTAGCGAGGCAGCTAAAAATACACAAAAACGACGTCTTCTGAAGTGCTGTTGGATGATGAATGCTGCAGACAGCATGTATCGACTTTAAGTCCTGGATGAGGACTTAGAGTCGTTATGGGATGGTCTGTCTGTTTGCCTTTGTGCTAAAGGAATAAATCTGTAAAATAATTCCACCTGAAGTAGCTGGTCTTCTTTTCCTTCTCTCTACAGCTGGTCTGGTACAACATCTACCAGGACATCAGTCATTTCATGTTCTTTTTAATGGCTGATTGATGCAACATTTAACCTCTGTCATATGACAATATGAGACGTATTTTAGTCTGTGTTCAGCCTGGAACTTTACCACCTTTATGGCGTTCAGTCACTGTAATCCACAGAAATAAAGCCATAGCCCACATTCCAATTTTACTAACAGTGAGTGAAAAGAGCAGGCAATGAGCATCTGCATATCATTATTATCAAGTCATATATTTTCTAATAAAGGAGCATTTGTTTATTGAAGTTCCTCAGATTATTACTTCCTACCGCTGTGCTGCTTGTCACTATATACTGTTAATATACTGTATATAAAATTAAAAAACAGCATAGTGGGTGTGTGGCTTATAGTAAAGGTAGATTATATGATGCATAAAACATCCACTGAATCTAATGATGGGGTGCAGGTTATACTTAGCACCTGCAGGCTAGAAGGAGTAGAGTAGTAGAAGTAAAAGAGCCCCAGGATGCAATAAATTAAGTCAGCGCAGAAGAACATTGAGTTTTGTTTGAAAGAAAAGAGTGATTAATTGCAATTATTTATCTACTAAGCACCTAACTGACAACTGAGGTTTAACAGCCAACACCACCAGTCTTTCCGTAAAATTATTTGATGTATGAAAACATATTAACCTTCATGAGCAGCGTTGATAAGGTTAACTTTCTCTTTTAAATAGACACAATAACCTACCAGAGATATGAGGTACATACTGTAGACAAAGCTCATTTATGTCATTTAGTGTATTGTAAACTCGAGACTCCAAAGACCTTTTGGTTTTGTTTGTTGTTTAACTCGTCAGCCTTCCTTTGCCAGGAAATAACTTGAATGGTAAATCTAGAACGTGAAATTTGCTCCATAACTTTCAGGCTCACAGGGCAGAAAAATAAAGACACGTTCAGACTTGTTTCCTATTTTAGTAAAATTCTTTAAATATCAAACTCACTGTGGTATTCCTCCAGCACCAGCGTCTGAACCTGGGTAACCTTTCTCTCCCTCTTCAGCAGGCCGTCTCCTTGGAGACAGGGCAGAAGACGCAGGATGTCACCAACATTTTCTTCTGATCCTAGAGAAAGAAGTGAAAGAAGGGCTGATGAGGTTATTGGCACTTCTCGACGATGTGTTTGGTCACATCACAGCTGAACATTGAAGTGTTTCGTTATTGGGGTTCAGGCCAAAAGATAAGGAGGCTCCACTGATTCTCCCAATCTGCTGAAAGGTCTCATTAAAAATAGGTTAAAATGGTTTGGAAGGTGGAATATTAATTATAGAGTTAATGTTTAAATAATTTAGTATCTTAGCAGGTTGACCTTAACTTAAGAATAAACGCCCCAAAAGGTCACATTTATTCATGTTCATGGAGAGCAGGGGTCCCCAACACCCAGCCTGGGGACCACATTCAGCCAGTGAAAACCCTTACATTTGGCTGTAACTAGATATCAAATGCAATTTAATTTTGCCCTTAAGTTGTTTTTAAATTGTTTTTATTATTATTATTATTTGATTTTGATGTACTACAGGGTGGGAAAAACAAGCAATGTCTGATTCATTCCCACTGTTTAAAGTTTTGTGGGAACACAGAGAGTGAAGGAAAATGAAGAAAAACACATGAACAGCGGTGACATAAAAGCGATAAACTCAAGAGGTAAAGAGGAAGAGTTTAGGAACTGAACCATCTATAGTGGACAATGACAGCCACTCAAACTCTGTCAATGAGGCCTGAGGAGAATCTGCTTCAATCAAGCTGAGCAGCAGCTTCAGGACAAGAGCATGTTGAAAGGTCTTACATTTATTATATGGCTAAGGACAAACAGTGTGTGAAATTTAACAGAATATGCTATGGCAACTACTCATAGTATGACTGTTAGAGCAGTCATACTAGCTCATACTAGCATATGAGCACCACGCACATATATATCATCAGAAAAAAACCCACAGCACACCACCAAACACAAATCTCACAAAAAGTATATTTGATGAAATATAATTTTCTAGTCTGAATGACGTCATCATTGACTAAAAATTTGGCCTGTTTAGTTGAAGACAACGCTGATATACTGGCAGATGTGTATTGCAGCTCATTGGGCGCAAAGTAATTTATACTAAAGATTTATTAGATTTATTTTTCTCAAATTCAGTTTGTTCATTTGAGAAGACACTACTGTGTATGGTTTTACAACAGCATCAACCAGATAGAATTTTGCATCTACAGCGCTGGATTTTCCAACCAAAGAACATAAGACAGATACCAGGAAACTTTAGGGATAGTTTAGCTGCAGAGGACAAGCAATTTTTTAAAAGACTGCTTTTTTCGACAGGGCATAATTCCATCATGTGCTCCAGCAGAAGAGTTCTTCATTTGTTGTACTTCACAGCCTCGCGAATTAGTAACATTATATTATTGCACTGTGCAGTGAAACAGACACTCTTTTCTTCCTAATTGTAAGTCACAAAGGTGGTATGAGATGGACGAGCGGGTGCGTGCATGCTGGTGCTGTATACGTAATAGGAAGCAAAACCCTGAGGCGGTTGTGACAAACAGCTCACTGAATTCATCAAACCTGAACTGCACACGCAGCCCTTCTGGAAACAAGCAAAACATTTCAAAGTTTGCTCAGAATAATAATTTACTGTAAAGTGTGGCTCTTCCATTTGTACCAACTCATAAATGAACACAAAGGAATATTTCTAAAGGCCGTAGCCAACAGTTCTCACCAAACATACTCTGATAATTTTTGTAACCATTTTTTAAGTATAAACAAGTGACGCTGTCTTCTTATCTGTAACTGAAGTTTTGTAGCCAATTCTGTGGCATTTACTGTCTTTTTTTTCAGTGTTCCTTTCCTTACTTACGCAAACAGATGGGGGAAAGTCGACAAAACACTTGAAGTGACATTGACCCACAATACAAGACTACAAACTATACCTGATGACGAAGGACACTTCTCTCTGAGCAACGCAGAGATGGTTGCCATGGCAGCAGCTCCGTTAATCTGACTATCCGAGTGCAGCATTCTGACCTTGCAGGAGCCGTTCCCGGGATCATCTGCTCCCTGGACCAGCAGGAGGAGGTGAGCACTTTCACCTTTAACCTCCACATCAGGAACTAGAAGGTGAGACACAGTTACCTTCACAAGTCACTGTTAATAGCAAACCTTTTTGCTTCACATAATAACTGATATAAAACCTGGTGTCACCTTTACGAATTTTAGTTTGCGACAACCCATTTCCCCTTCTCTCTTCCTGTTTTAATTTTCCTCTTACTAAAGGTTTTTTCTAATCGATTTATTTCGACATTCAAGTCTATTGACCCCAGGCAGGTTTTTATCATCAACTGCAAATCAGTGGAGTGTGATTTAGTAATTTATTTCTCTACCTAATACAACGTGATTCTGCTTGGTTGTTGCAAAAGTGCCATTACCTTAATGAGAAAAGGGACAACACAGGGACTATATATTCAATTTAGCCACAACCACTCTTACCAGGTATGGACTTGAGCCTCCTGGATATAGACTCTCTCCAGCGTTGGGAGCTAAGCTGGCTGGCAGCAGGCTGGACGACGGGAGTAATTACACAGGACAAACTGAACAATGCTCCAATCTAAACATAGAAACACAAAGGTAAAAACATTTAATTGAATCTGACACAGGGTTTTCATAGCATTTAAACAGATAAACCAGATGCTCTGTCCTGTCAGTGCATCTCTGTCATTTATAGTAGTGTATGGGTAAAAAACAAACTGTATGTTAGACTTTAGTCTGCCTTAACAGCAGGATGTTGTAACGTCCAGATACCTGTCCATGCAGTGACCTCAGTTGTTCCAGCAGTAGTTTATTCTTCATTGTCTTTGAAGACAGTCCTCTGTTTGTCCGTGTTAAACAAATAATTACGTTGATGTTGAAATAGAGAAACCATCATTCCAAGCATCTCATCCTGTTATCTATTCTTCACCTGCAGGTAGTGCTGTCGATGCAGTTTGAATGTCCCTAACAGAACAGATAAATCCAAATTTGGAACTTTGACATTTGGTTCTTTCTAAGACAAACCCCTTCAACAGTGTCTGCATGCTTACTTTGTCCATTACTCACGTTTTATTTACTGCGTTCCCCCTACTCCCTTCAATGATTGAAACTGAGGTTGATTTTGCAGCATTGTGTGTTTATGTGTTGACAGTTTAAAAAAAACTTAATATATGATCTTGCCTATAGCATTGCAGTATATTGCAATATATCGTATCGTTGCCCCTGTACCATGTACATATATCGTATCGCCAGATTCCTGCCAATGCCTGATATATGTTCCTCTCTGTAGCTTGATTGTTAATCCTTCTTTTGTAAGTCGCTGGATAAAACCATCTGCTAAATGCACAAATGTAAATACAGTATGATGTTAAACAGAAGAAATCCAGAAAAGGATACAGCTCAAAATAAGTGTTTGACATCAGGTAGCTGGGCAGCTGTGAGAGATTAACCAGCTGAACCAGGTCCAACACTGGAGCATAGTAATGAAAGACCTGCAGAAAAAGGACAAAGAGAAGATTCCATTAGGGTCTTAAATAGAACAAAATCCAGAAACAAACAAAAAAGACAACAGGATTACTCCTCATTAAAGTAAAGAAAGGTTAAGTTAGAAATTGTGAGGTCCGTCATTGTTTTCTAACACCCTTATTCTGGTAAAAGGACATCATAATATAAAACTAATTTGTCAGTAGGAAAGACTATTATGGGCCTAGAAAATTATAAATTATAATTTGTTGCCGACCCCTTTTTCCAATCAAATTCCCATATTATTAGGGTCAGTGATGATTGGTTAGGTCCCTAGTATGTTTCATGTTCAACATGGTAAAGTCTGACTGATGCAGAGGCCAAACAGATCATTAGCACTTAATTGACCTCATTACTTAGAACCATTTTAAAAGATCCTCTGAGATGGTGAAAATGAAAATTAGAATATGCTGTGTATGGGCGAACAAATGCAATTACTGTAAATGCAATAGAACATTGTGCAGTGTGTTTTCCTGACAGGGTTACAACCTATTTTCCCCATAAATGTATTCCTCATATTTATGGTAAATTAGAGGTTTGAAAACACAGTGGAGTTGAAGGAGTAACTGTTGCAACGTGCAAATGAACATGTTTGAAGACTTACAGACATGATGGTTACTTTAAGTTTAACTGTTACAAATTAAGAAAAATAAATAATTATTCAATAATACACCAGGACTTGGCACAGCCATAATTGCACAAATTTTATATTTATATTTTGATTGATTCATGATCATTTTAAAAGTCCACATAATTTTTTTCGCCACCGACTTAATTTTCTGTGCAGTTGCACATGCAAAAAAATACAATGACAAAATTAATGTTTGCTTCATGTGGTGCACATCTGCTTTTCACACTAATCCCATCTTGTCAACATGTCAACTGTAGTGTTTTAAGCGGTTCTGATGGTAGAACAAAAGTGTCATAAATTAGCAAAAATGTGTCAGTCAGCATTTATCCCTCTTTATGATAGAGAGACACAGTATGAAAAGATCATAATTGGACAAGAAACGTCAAAACTAGGATTACAACTAACCATCGTTTTAATAGTCAGCCAGTGACAGGATTATGATTTTTGTACAAAAGTTGATAATTGTGTAAAACACAATTAAGTCCTTCCCACAAACCATATATTTGTAGTTACTGTGAATTAATACACATTCACAACGTCTATTTCAGACAATAACACTCAAAACCATTAGTCAGACAGTCAGTGATTTGTTAATGAATCACTGTAGCCATTGCCAGTATAGACCACAGGAAACGCATTTTCTCACTAAAAAAAATCTAATAATAATAAATAATGCAAATGTATGAGAATGCAGGCTCAACAGAACAGATAGAATAGGGTCTGCTCGGTCTTCATCAGAGTGAAAAAAACACACATAATGATCCCAACCTTTGGACGTATGACACTGTTATTTGGTATTCTGCCTCAGGTGATTTGGACAAAGAAAACTGGCAGTTGATTCACTGTCAACACCAGGGACAAATTCAAATGAGTTTGTTGTTGTTTGTTCCACAGATGTAATTTATTGTTAATACTTCAGGGAAACATGCAACTAACCAGGATACTTAAAGAGACAGAAGGTCCTGGAAACACTATCACTAAAAACTGTTCTTACCACTGAACTTTTAATTGAAATATTGCACGCTCTTTTTATTCTTTTAAAGATTGCACGTAATTTAATGGGTGTCCAATATCAAAGTCACCATGAATTTAAAGGAAAGGTTTGTCCAATTAGCTGACATCGAAGAGTTTAATATTTATTGATTTTACATTTAAGGAAAACATTAACTTATTTATTTTTGTGTGTGTGTGTGTGTTGATGGATCATGGAACAGAGAGCATTTCAAATTCCTATTTAACTCAGTAACTGCCAGTATACTTTAACATCCATTAAAGATAAACATGATAACAAGAAGCTAGCACATTCAAATTTCACAAATGAACCTGAACTAAATTGCTGTGTGAAGAATAAAAAAAGAGAGAGAGAAAGAAGTGCAATGCGTTTAAATGTTGACACCAAATGAAGATAAGGACTGAACAATAAAGTAAGAAAAAAAATGTAAGACCAATGCATAGTTATATAATTAAATATAACATATAACATATTAAATATAACATATAATGGAATATACGCACTGTTTTCCAATTCTGTTTGATGGTTATAAGGTCAACAGAAGAACTGAGGTCAACACTAATTTGGCAGATAAAAATATTCAATACATCACCATGACAGTGCTTCTGTTACAGGTTCCTCACTGTGACTCGGGTTCAACCAGGAAGTGACCCTTTCAAACTCATTTTTTGCCTCCAGGAATCATTAGGAGACAGAATGTGTTTGGTTCTTTAAGACCGTTCCCTCTGAGGCAGATACGGCTTGAACTGGGGTTAAAGGGACAGTTTCACTATGAATGAAAATGTAGTCATTATCAACTCCTTCTGTCAATCAAACCCTCTCTGATGTGTGTAGTATGATGAATGGTCATTAGACTTATTGTTTTAGCATTTATCAAAAACATGTGAAAATGCAAGCTCAACACAACACTTAATGCTGACAGTCTGTCAAAAAAGGCAAAAGGAAAAAAATACACAATGGATTAACTCTTGGACTTTTGACACATATGTGTAACCGTTTGACATAAATGTATTCTGCCTGAGGTGTTTTGACACTGGAACGACACGCAGTGATGGAAAAACTAGCAGCTGAACCACATCAGGGACAAATACAGTGATTAAAATCAGCTCATTGTGGATCCTACAGATGGTTTTTACTGCAAGTCGAAGAAACATTCAACCGGGCTTTAAAGAAAGACTAAAAAATGAATAAGACTTAAAAATTATTTATTTATTTGGGAGTCAAATCATTTGATCCCTTAAAATGCAGAAAATTTAAGACAAATTTCCACGTTAACCAGATGCTCTACTGCATTGAATCAGATTCAGTTGCCAAGTAATTTAGCAGTCGTTTAATCACAGAGTGGTCAACTAACCATCCCAGCATTGCTTAATCACACCGTCATTAAACAAAAGAGGAGCTGAAGATACAGCAACAAATCAAACACATCACACATTACCTAGAGCAATGACTCCCAAGCACTGTACCGCAGCCCTTTAGTGTGCCGTGAGAGATCGTCTAATTTACCATGGGAAATTGTCCAATTTCCCCAAATTGGTCTGAAACCTATTATGTATTTACTGTAAATGTTTTTGTCTTAAAGGTAAAACAATTAAATACTCTTCCACAAGGTGGCAGCAGATGGATATAAAAAATAAAAAATAAGATATTAAGATCTTTGTGTGTGTTTTTTTAATGTCTGTGTTCAAAAGTAAACAGGCTATTGTTTTACACATCTAAATAAATTCAAACAAGATCATTACAATTTATTACACATACTTTTGTGATATTTTGGTGATGTGTCATGGGATTTTAATGTCAAGTGTGTGGCATGGCTCAAAAATGGTGGGAAACGCTGCATACGCTGCAACCTAAGACCTGTGTGTGTGTATGTAACTATGATCCAGATAATAAAGGCTTAGATTAAGGTTGAAATTAACTAAATATTTTAAGACTGTCAACTATGATGCATTTAGGGAATGCTTATTTGAATTTTCTACAAATAAGCCCTACAAAAATGTTACACACTAGACATTTAGGCAACACAAGCATCTTCCAACTGGACCATAAATGACGTGGGTAGAAGGAAAACCTGGCAACGAGTGTCAAAACAAAAACATCTCCGCTCCAGACCAGGGCAGACTTAAGCCCCTTGTGAAGCTAAATGATTGTAGTGCAACAAAGAGTGATATCGATGTAAACAACAGTTATACAGACAATCACACCCCTGATAACATTTTACTTTAATTTGATATATTCCCACAAGTTAACAACATGCCTAAATGTGTAGGAATTCAACCAACCAACAACAGGAACATTTACGGAGAGTAAATAAAAATGTGAGAAAAAGACTCACTTCAGACTGTAGTTTGTGGTCTGTCGAGGTGAAGGCAGGTGGTAGGAGACCGGAGCCTGGGGTGTGACGCACCGGGGAACGCAGAGAAAACCCATCAAAACGCAGTTCAGATAAAAACTGCAGCGAACCAAAAGAATAGAGGAAAACACAAACATTAAAGAAAAAACTCTATTACTTACTCAGGTTAGTGTCATTAGTTACCAGTACCACAACACAGGACATCAGAAGCTGTAATTACACCACACAGTCATGTTTGTTCTTCCATGAATTATTCATACAATAATAATTTTTGTTCTTCCATGAATTATTCATACAAAACTCCTACCTTTTTTGTTATAACCACATGACACACGTGAACACTGACTTCAGTAATAGCCGCTCTTGTACATGTGTTAAACAGCCTTTAAGTGACGATGATTGCTCTCAAACAAGCTTTTATTCCTGTAAGATTGTCTTTTGTTTTCCACTTCACTACTGTGAAGCCATTACTAATGGACCCTGGTACTTAACAAAATCTGAACTCATCAAAGGTCACTACAGCAACGCACACATTGACCCTAAAACAATCTATGTTTAGAGCCTCATTGGAAGGAAGTTGGAACCTTTGTACAAACACTAATATAATAATTTTCCATGCAGTGGTCTTTCGATTTTGAATTTGTTGGGGTTTTTTTTTTGGTGTGTTTTTGACAATAATAAGTTCATTTAATATTTGTCCTTAATCACTCTCCCACCCCAAGCCTTATCAATGTCTTCGTCCTGTTCTTCTTCCAAGCTGTCAAACTTCTTGGACAAGAGAATAATGGCACCGTCCTGTGCGATTGAAGTCACTGTCTTGCCTCACGTTGCAGTTTTATTTTACTCATATAGCCTATGTACGATCCTGTGTAATTTTAAACAAATAATATCAAACACACAATCAAATAGGTATGCTACCTTCAAATACAACAAGCACAACCCCATGTTTCAATTCAAACTACATAAAAAGTCCAAAGTATGAGGCATGAGGGTTAGAATAAAACTGGTCATGATTAACAATCGACATAAAGAAAAAATGTAGCTGCCAAATCTTCATTAGAGCAAGCCAATATCTCTCTATAATCTCTATAAACTGTCAAAAAGGTTCATTAGAATCACTTTTGGCTTGTTCCTCCATCACCCCAGGCAGAGTTTTAAACTGCAGTCATTTAAAAAAAAGAAGTTTTTTTTTTTGGTGTGTTTTTGACAATAATAAGTTCATTTAATATTTGTCCTTAATCACTCTCCCACCCCAAGCCTTATCAATGTCTTCGTCCTGTTCTTCTTCCAAGCTGTCAAACTTCTTGGACAAGAGAATAATGGCACCGTCCTGTGCGATTGAAGTCACTGTCTTGCCTCACGTTGCAGTTTTATTTTACTCATATAGCCTATGTACGATCCTGTGTAATTTTAAACAAATAATATCAAACACACAATCAAATAGGTATGCTACCTTCAAATACAACAAGCACAACCCCATGTTTCAATTCAAACTACATAAAAAGTCCAAAGTATGAGGCATGAGGGTTAGAATAAAACTGGTCATGATTAACAATCGACATAAAGAAAAAATGTAGCTGCCAAATCTTCATTAGAGCAAGCCAATATCTCTCTATAATCTCTATAAACTGTCAAAAAGGTTCATTAGAATCACTTTTGGCTTGTTCCTCCATCACCCCAGGCAGAGTTTTAAACTGCAGTCATTTAAAAAAAAGAAGAAAAAAAAAGCTCATAAATGTCTTCAAAGATTAAAAAAATCCACTTGAAAACTCAAAAAAGACATCAACGGTGTGAGGCATGAAAGGGAACTTCACAGTAAACAGATTATCCCCACAGGACCAGATTGTAGAAGAATGGAACTAAATTGGCCAATTCTCTTCAGAGACAGAAAAAGACCAGAGAAGCAGAGTTCTACTGTAATGAAAAAGAAGTGTGAGTGGATGTAATCTCCAGTGTTGCAGGAAAACTCTGCGAACTCACATCAGTCTGTTCGATTTAGGACCATTAGGCAGCTCTATTGGGAAAAATACCTGGCAAAAAAATTCTGGACCCTCATTTATGACTGTTAGACCCCCCTGAAACTCCACAATTTTGCAAGATAATGGATACTTATCTGCTGACACAACACATTCTCTAGTATAATTTCAGAACCTGGCTGCAGGAGTTTTGTTTTTCTTTGCCACGAGAGAATCCATGAAGACTCCTGGTTATCTTCCATGATAAACAGGGTTGTGGTCGGGGCAATTACATTCCTCAGGAAACATTTTAGTTAATCACCAAAAACACCCTAAAACATGACCATACCAAGAGAAGAGACACTACCAGCAATTATTTTTACAATCTATAGAAAACCCACAGAAGAAAGTATAAACTTTAACCTTAAAACCCAGACAGTGACCAGAGACCGTCTCCAGCATTTGTCCTTCTCAGCCTGGACCTTTAATTAATTGTAGTCAACTCCTGGGAAAGCCAGGTTTCAGGAGTCAGTATATTCTGTCAGGGCAATGCCAGCAAGGCAGAGTAATTTCCCATGAACGGACACTGACCAAGAATAAAGCCTCTGGGTTCCCATAGCAACAAAGAAAGCCCTGCAGTGACTGCAAAAAAAACTTAAAAAATAAATTAACATTTATCCCAAAGTATATTGTAGGGACGGAGGGACTTATACAGTGATATAGATTGTGATACACGAGGCCCTTGGAACAGGCTCTTAAGAGTTTAAACCAGAATTAGGACGACTGCAGACATTTTGTGTAAAAATACCTTTTTTTCCCGACTATATCCCAATACTCCTACTTTAGCTAACAGTGAAAACTCATTATGATACAAATGTGTGTGGTTATTGTGTAGAATATGGCTTTTGTTGTAACTGTGTCGCAGGATTCAGGAAGAACAAAGATGACTTCAAACATTGCACTCCAAAGGTCAATGTGTTTCTTGTATTTTTGGAAAAAGTTTTGACCAAACTGTCAGTGATTCCTAAACTCTTTTAAAATACAGGAATATTTTCAACCCCTTCGTGTTAACAGCTATTGCTGAAAAATATTTAAAACAATTCCCTTATTTTATTTTTTTTGTTCTCAGTGAACAAAGAAAATAAAATAAAAAATAACTGCAACCCCCCTATGGAACACAGAGGAATATATTTGAATTGTAATTCATTTGCCTTGAAAGCAGCAGGTTATTATAAGCAAAACAATGTGAATCATATTCTTTCTAAGGCTGAAAAGCCAACCTGAACTCCCAGTCACAGAGCAGGTGGTTACTTAATGTTATTCTAGGCAGTATTAAAATGGACTTCAAAAGTCTTGGATTTAATATGAAGAAACCTGGATGTACACCGACATAAGATCATCTGATAAAAATGCCATGGAAATGTTCCAAAATACCCATCGCCCCTAAGCTCTGTTTTAAAAAAATAAAACAAAAACAACAAAAACAACATAATTCTACATTCTGGAATGCATCCAAAAACTTGACATTCAATCACTTAGTCCACATTTGTAGGTAAACTGGGATGTGAACCACACTCTTTAGCAGCATGAATGCAAATGTGTCCTCCTCCACACATTATGACATCACTCATATCCTTTCCCTCCCTTAAAACACAGAGTGAAGTGAAAACATTTAATTTTTTCCTCCACTGAGTTATTATTAGTCAGTTCTCTGACATGAAAATATTAATTTCCTTTGTTTCACTTTTTCAAATAATTAAAAATGTCTTCTTTGCAGAGATGTGAGCAGCACACCAATGCACTTGTTGTGTTCAGACACGTGCACAAAACAACCATCTATTACAGCTGAGCTGACAAAAATTTTTGCATTTAGGGTTCGCAAAAAAAAAAAAACACTTCAAAAAGATAGTTATTTACTCATTTCCATAAGAAGTGAGGAGGTGAGACGTGCTTAGAAGAGTTAACTGGAGACATGCAAAACAATGCCAAGGGTACGCTGACATATTCAGAGCTGTCTGGGTCACAAACAGAGAAGTTCACTTCCTCCTTCTCCTTCTAAAAACAGAACAGACACAGATTTGCATAAAGATACACTTGGCAGGCTGACATGACGACAGGCCATGGTCAGGGCCACAGTGAAAACGAGAATGTGGATCTAATCTCTTTTGTTAGAATTAATACCAGTTTTTCCACTAGGACTTGGAGATGGCTGAAGAGTCCAGCTGTTAAACATTATCAGGTTTTTAACTTACACCCGCTGATAATCTCAGGCGTGTTTTATTAATAAACCAAGCGCCACCTAGCGGATTGAGAGACTCTGGAATATTGATCGAGTCTGCTGTAATTCTGAAGCAGTGGCAGGAATAATTAATGTTGTTGCTGTGTTGTTTACATAGCTGAAGGTGAACTGAACAGGCATCCTGTCTTTAACATCCTAACACGAAAAGACATGAGTAAGTTAGTGCTGCACTAACTTTGCTGCAACATAAGGTATGTCTGTTGCCATGGTTACTATGATTACAGAGTATTAGTGACCCTCAGTATACACAGTATACAAAAATGCATCGACCTGAAAAACAACCACTCCCCGTTTCACTAACTTTGACTCAACAGATTGAAACTTTTTTCCCAAATACACAAATTAGAATTCCAGTAGTTCCAACATCCATCCACTTATCGTTGCTCTAATACCAGTCACTACACATGTTGTCATTTACCCAGGTGCCCAGCAATATCCACCTCAGCCTCCTACAGTACTGTGTATGTGTGTCAACAATAATATCTTATTTGACCTTTTCATTTATATTTTCATAATGCTGTTTCTAAATAAAAATGATCCGACTTGACTAATTCACAAAGTTTTTCTCTTCCTTTGTCAACTTTTACATTACAACTTTGGCATAAGTTTTATTGTCAAGTTTTAAAAGTTTCTGATATATTTTTCCCTCCTGTTTAGGAGTAAAATAATGTCAAAGACATGTGTACGCAGACTTTCATTACCTTCTTCTCTCTGATCACCAGGCTGCCTCGCCACAGTTCATTATGGTCAACGCAGTCGACCAGGTCAGAGGTCATCACCACAGCAGCATTGAGGTAAGAGGCCATTTTCTGCCACCTGAAAAGGTCAAATAATCAATTTAAGTCACAGAAACATTATAGTCACTAAAACATTCAGTTGTAACTTCTGTGAAGTTAACACAGTTGATGTAATCATTATTTTATTAATTATGTAAGATAATGTGTGTACATATTCACTCATCTAGCTCCCTCTAGTGGTGAAAAGGTATATAAATATCTCCGAATTTGCCATACGTTCACTGAACTAAAAGTGGCATAGACAATAGAGCAGCGTGTGGTTTGCTCTCTTAGTGAGTTATTATTTGGATAAGTTCTGCAAGGCAGGTTGGTTTTACACCCAGATTGACACAACTAAAGAGGATTAAGAAGAAAAGTATGTGTTTTGTCCGTCCACTTACGCGGCTGTGTGCTGTGTGATGAGGCTGATCTTAGCAGTGTGCCAACATGACATGTGTTTCAGGGCTCCCAGCAGAGGCAGGAGCTCTTTGACAGGAGGAGGTTGTTCTGCTGAAGCCAACACCAGCACATCCAACAGGGCCTTGCCTGATACACGTGTAAAAAACATTACTCAACATTAATGTATACAGAAAAGGGTCTTTAAAAAGCTACAAAGTAAGCACTTTAGTACAAGATACATACAATATGTAGACTTGAGAAAGAAATATGTTGGGGGAGCGGGGTGGTGGTCTCTGGGGTAATTTATTATGAATATACTAAACTAAAGTTCAATGTAACAGAAAGATACTGCACCTAAATTTTCCAAAATCGGATTTTTAGACCACAGACTGTATCTTGGTTGCTAAGTGAGGGAGTTCAGCTACAGTAAAATGGTTCAAGGCTCTCTACTCTAGATATTAGGTATGCGAGGATAGAATATGAAAAAAAAAAAATCAATACCAGCCAAGAACTTGCATATTTTTACTCTGTAAAACCCTTGAGTGCATGTGTAAAAACATGAAAATAAACATAGACATAGACATGCAAGTTCTTGAAAAATACATCTACAAATGTGAATCGCTACAGGCAATCCACATTGCCTGTGGATGTCAATGTCAGTTTACTACAGACATTGTTTACTGATTTTATGGGCACAAATTTTATATTTTTTAGATTTTATGATGTAGAAAAACGTCGTTTCAATCTTTCACAACAAACCCGAAGCTGGAGGAAGAGTGTTTTTTTCTTCTGACAGATCAAACATTTGCGTTAAACAACATTTCGTCATGACTTTATCAGCGCTGTGCAGCTTTGGGAGAGCTACAGCTGCATTCAGAAAAGAGTTTACACATAGTACATATCATATGTAATATTGTTATTCAATATAACAAGTAATCACTGTGTCAGTGTGAGTGTGTGTCGGTGTGTGTGCATGCACCTGTCAGTGCAAAATCTGTGTTTGTGAGCCATGTTTGCATCTTTTTCAAGACTTTCAATTTGCATCGGTCTGTTTGAAGTTTCTTTCTTGCTTGTGCATCTCTTTAAAGTATTTGTGTGTGTGTGACAGGGTGAAGTCATGGGTTTTTGTGTAAAAAGCCAATTCAAACTGTGTATGTCAGACCAACCAAGACATTTCATAGCTAAAACTGAACACACATTTATCCCGACAATAATACATTATTAAAAATCCTGAATCTGTGACCATCAATGATGTGCTGGTCAGATGGCTGGGCTTGTGATCAAAGAAGATTTGTGAATAAGACTGACAACCCTGCTGTGTGTGTAATAACCAGGGTGGATTTTCCTGTTTGTTGATAGTGAAATAATGAAAACCACACGTCTTCTCTTTTTCCCCAGCTACAGTACATGTGTCGGCTGCACAGACGACAAACAACAAAATCAATAACAAGCGATTTTTTAAATGTATGTTTGTATGAACAGGCTTTAACGCCACAGGTGATCATAACTTGAAAACCAGCGGTGACAAAACAAAACATTGACTGACAATTGTGACTGGAGCCTCTGTTACACTCTCTTATTTTCTGACAGTTGTCAGTTGAAAAAGTGTGGATTTCAAAATGTGCGGCAAACGTCCTTTGGGGGGCGCAAGAACACTTTAGAGCAGTAACTAAATACATTCAAATAATACTTTGAGATACTCTGCATCTGTGTGAGAATGTCCTTGTATGTGGGGGAGGGGAGGTGGATTTGGGGGTAAGCCCACTGGAGTGCAGTTAATGTCTTGCATTTGAAATCTCCTAGTGTATGTAAAACACAGTGAGCATTAACATAGCTTCTTGTGCACAACAGGAAGGAAATAGCTTTCCTTTGTTCAGTCTCCTGTAAGCACAATTAAAGCATGCTGACTGAGCTGAATTTCTTTAAAATGTATTGCACTCTTTGAGCTAATAGAAAATAACTATTGTTAGTTGACTCTGATTTCATCTTAAGCTTTTGAACAACTGTGCATAAAAAATAAACAAACACAAATAAAGATGTTACAGTTATAATGAATCAACAAACTGTACCTGGTGGTGGTAGTTTGTCTGACAGCAGGTGCAATCCTTCTGCAGCCTCCTCGAACAGCCTGTTGAACAAAGTCAATAATCAGGTAAAGAATGGAAGTCAAAATGGCCAAAATGTAACAACTTCACAGCAAACAAAAACATGTATACAGCAATTCATCACTCACTCTGCCTGACCAGAACCCTCCTGGTTACTCAGACAACTGAGACATGAGTCCAGGGCTGAAAGTTTCTCCTCCCCACTGTCACTTCTTTGATCACCAGTCCCAAGCTCTTCCCAGTCCACGCTGCAAAACTGCAAACCAATATTTATGCATTGAAGGCTGTATTAGCTTATGTAACACATGTTTATGTTATATCATAATACATTTTTCATATTAACATCACAATTTACACACTTTGCACTACTGTAAAACCATGACATTAAAAAGGAAACAGATCCACACTGATATGATGATTTTTTTTTTGTTTTAATAAAGCAATTTAGAAATTGGAGGCATGTCATAGAAAAAAAAAGTCAGAGTCTTGGTGAGTCTCAGTTTTGCATTCACTCACCTGTGTTGTTCCAACACAAGCCTGAACAGCAAAGTAACACTTCTGGACTGATGGGCTTCCAGTCAGAGAGCAAGCTTTTCAAAGGGCAAAGAACAACCTTTAAGAAAATCAGCATTTTCTGAGGAAAATCTACAACACTAACCTTTACAATATTATTATCATATTTACACTACACATAATTACTGTATAGGTGGTACCTATGTACTGTATATCACTAACACAGAATACCTCTTTCGTTGTCACTCAAAACCATGGAGAGTATTTGCCCTGTTTTGTGTTTTTTTCTCAGTCAACATATTTATCTATGCAGTACACTGTACCTGGAAATACAGAGATTCGTCTCGTTGATTCTTGAGTGTATATTTCCACCAGTCTGTTATAGATGTGTTTTACTGGCTCCAGACCTATGACATAAGACGTTGACTTCATCATAACAAAGCAAACGCATAGACAAGTTCTACGTTAAACAGTTCGGTGACTTTTTAGAAACAGAATAAGTCAAAAGAGCGTAAGTTCATACTGCATTCTATTCCTCTTTCGATTCAAACGTAACTAAGAAATACGGTCGTTTAAAGCGTTAGCTGCATGTTTTGAGCCACATTCTACCTAAACTATGATTAGCGACGTTAACGTTAAACAGTCAGAGGAATAAAACTCACATTTAAAGTCTTCTTCCGCTTCGTCCTCGGTTTGATAAAAAGATAAAACTAGCACGTAGCGATCCATCGCATGTGAACATCAATAAAATTATTGTTAATGTCGGTTTGGAATTTTAAAATCTACAAAATAAAACCAGCACTGTTTTCCCGCATTGTCAAATTTCCCACCAGTTCCTCTTCTATTTCTTCTTTTACTGTTCAGTTCACCAAGGCAGAGATAAAGAGAAGTACCACCACCTGCTGGTCACAGACAGAAACACAGGTGTGTTGTTTTGCTGCAAATGTTTGAATAATAATAATAATAATATAATAATAATAATAATAATAATAATGATAAATAAAGCTCTTCAATATGTATACCTTCAAAATATTTCAATAATGTAACACTGAACACTTTATTTGCAAAAAATACAACAATAACAACTTGTGGCACAATTCTTTAACTATCTATACCACAGTCAATTTTTCAAACATATGTATTTAAAACATTTGTGAATATACAGCATAGTGCAATCATAAACATTCAATATGAAAAACAAAATTATAAATATTACCTATGCCAAGATTATGCTCCAAATATAACAATGTTGACAAAAGGTCAGGTCAAACAGCAGTTTCTGCAAGTAAAAAACACAAAAACAATTCAAGCAATACTAGAGCTTTATGTGACTTATGTTTAACTGTATCAAAAAAGTAAACTTTAAACATGAAGGACATTATTTTGTACAACAATTCACATTTAAAATAATCATAAAACAATCATAAAACAGTATCCAATACAGTTTACATTGTTTCCAAGCCACAATTAAGAACTCTTGAATTGTATTGCTACATATTAAACCCTTAGCTTTTAATTGCAACAAAAATAAGGCTTAACAATAAGCTTGAATGATCAAAATAATTTCTGAAAGTGTTGTATAGTGATGAGTTCATCCATTTTATGTTATTAGTAGTTAGTCAGGTGTAGGTACACCTGACTAGCACGTTGTACAAATTTATAGACTATATAATCTGAGGATGAAACCATTTACAATCTAACTTTACTCATGAATACCACAGAATTTACCAGCTGTCACCAGAGTCATCAAAACCACTTAGCCACAGTGGACGAGCGGTTGTGTTAAACTGTCAGCCATGCTAATTTATTTCCACTGTGTGTTCCTCCACATAGACGATGTAGTGGTGAGTGTTTTCTCCCTGAGTGAGGACGGTCAGAGCTTCCAGTGCGTGAGTGTCCTCCATTACCATTACATGCTCGCCAGTGAGCTCCTCCTCTGCATTCACCACCATCAGCTGGTTTTCACAGCCCCCAAGATCCTCCTCTTCGCTCACCTGCAACTTTGACAAAGTAGAAACATTTTTGTTGAGCGCAGTGAGGGCTTTTGTAATTTCCAGAGTGTGGGTGTTGTGATGATATTTACCTGTTGAACCACTGCAACTGTTCCTGGAGCCAAGGCAGCCATAGAAGAGACTGCCTGCTGAGCCTCTGAGTGTAAGTCACTCATCTGTTTGACAGCATCTAAACACAAATAATAACAAAAAACATTTTTAAATGTGAGAGATATTAAAAGACATAACCAAAATGAATTAGAACAGATTTATGAACATATCATTGATTTGGAATTATTTCTAATGTTATGAATCATAATCACAAACTCAGGAATATTAAAACATGCAGATCTAGAAAAGATCTAGAGAATATTAAAACATGCAGATCTAGAAAATGTGAAAAAGCAGCTAACATTTTCAGGGGGGGGGGAAATCAACAACCTCAACATTTTCAGATAAAACTTAACTAAAAGAGAAGGTTATATTTTAATAAGAAAAATAATACGCTGAGTGGTTTAATCAATTTCAAATAATAATTCAGATTAGCCACATGAGTTTCTTCCTACAGTTTTGTCATCTCTTTGGTTTTCTAACTCAGCTTTGTTTTGTTCTGCTTAGTTGACTTCTGACAATATTCCTGACCGGAGCTCTTGACATGTTGACACACTTTGATGACTTTGTATATCCGTCTTGTGCTTTGTGAACATCAACCTTTCTTTTTCTTTAGCTTTTACTTTCTTCTTTGCTTTTGTCTTTGTGTTTCACATATGACAGCCCAGACCTTGAACTAAGTTCTGTAAGAAAGCACCAATCACAGTATCCGTAGAAAAAGTTTTTGATTTAAGAGTCACTGCATGTACTAGTAGGCACTACGTGACTTGGTGCCGGACTGATGATTACAACAAGCCTTAACGTGTGAGGATACACAGGAGCGATGTAATTAGGGATGTCCTTAATTAACTTTTTACCAATATCTGATGTGCTGATATTGTCCAAACCCCTTATTTTGGATTCCGATATCAACCAATACCAATATAGGCCTGGTAATATTTATTTATTTATCTGTACAAACCACTGTATGAGTTGCTGGCACCAGCATTCTGCGTACAATCCCCTGCTTATAAAATAGATTCATTAAATGAGCTGCAATGCTGCCATCTAGTGACTTTCACTTTAATATACAGCTATTTATCCCCTAAATTATTTTTAGGGCACACATCATTTGGCGAACCCCCAGCATTTCGTTATCGGGTTTTCATTATCGGAGGAAAAACTCGATTGTCAGTGGAGAAAATAATGTTCATGATCTCAGCAGTGCTTGGAGAAGTCACTTTTCTGAGTCATTGTTGTTGTCCTTACCGTTGTCATCAAGTGCTGCCACAGGTGCTTCTGTCAGCTGCTCTTCATCCTCCACAGTCACATACTGGGCCTCTATCACCTCCCCTCCCTGGGTTTTCATACAGAGTGATTTATATTACATTAGACTCGCCAGACTGGCTTAGGAAAGTGATAAAAACTAACACATAAAAGTATTTCTTATATTTTGGCATCAACTTTAACATAACATTATTTTTAACAATATGTCAAAACTTAAACCTCACGTTTTCCCCCCAAGGGCTAATTTGTGTGTTTACCTCCCAAGTTCCCTCCACTACTTTGAGCCTGTGTTTACTCTTCAAATGTCGATTCAGTTCCCAAGTGGTGCCGTAAACAAATTCACATTCAGGACATTTCTTTCCTCCTAATCACAAACACACACATATACAAATAAACAAGCTGAAAACATCATGGAACGATGGAGACATAAAATGTGATGAACAAGAGATTTAACGCAGATCAGACCTTGTTCTTTTAGATCTTCGAGGTTTGGCATTTGAGGTCCAGCGTTTTCATATTTCTGATCTGGGTGTTTTAGGTGGTAGTGTCTCTTCAGAGGACCAGCCAGATTACAGGAGTAGTGACAGTGAGCACAGCGAAAAGGCTGAAGAAAGAACAAGATACAGTACACATTTAATTTACCAGACTAACATTTTAACATTCATAACATCTGTTCCCAGAAAAAAATGATATGGTGACTTTTTTGTCTTAATCAGCTCAGCGTTATTGTAGTAAGTGTTTAGTAAATTGTCACCGGTCTCTGACACCCACAAAATGCAATCTTGTTTTTGAAATCCATGTTTTGGCTTATGATTTTCTGACCTTGAATGCAGCGTGTTGCTCCATGTGTCTGACCAAGTAAGGCTTAGAGAAAGAAGTAAAGTCACACTCTGAACACTGGAACCTTTTCCCTGGAGAAAACAAATTCAAATATCACTTTTGTTTTTTTAAAGATGAAAAAGAGAGAGAGAGAAAAATGTAAACAAACCTTCTTCAGTGTGATTCTGTCTGTGGCTTTTCAGCGTGACTTTAGATTTGAACTTTTTACCACACAGGTCACAGAGATGACGTTTCTCTGTGTTATGTCGGTTCATATGGGTTTTCAGGTTACTCCTGCTGCGGCCCGCGTAGTTACACACTCCACACATGTAGGGTTTCAGACCTGTGCAGTGAAACAAGTATAAAAATATCCATTTATTTATTAGTGTTTGCTCATGTATTTATCATCATTAAATATGGCAGTGTCATTCACCTTGGTGAGCCCAGATGTGCTGCTGAAAGTCTCTGCTGTTCTTCAGGAAGAAGGAGTCACAGTAAGGGCACTTCTCTGCTCTCTGCACTGGCAGTGAATCTAGCAACAAACACACATTCACATTCACATTACGATCTGATAGAAATTAGTCATCATTATCAAAGGCATTAAAAACTAAATGTGAAAGATAACGTTTGATAGATCTTTTTTCTGATCAATTGTAAAAAGCATCAATAAAGAAGAAGTGAAAGGGAGAGAACGGAAGGGGGGAGGGGTGGACAAAATAACAGAGAACAGCAGAGAGGAGAGAAGGAGGGGAGAGGAGAGAGGGAACAATATAGGAGAGTGTTCTTTACCAGGATGTGAAGTTTTGATGTGATGTTTAAGTCTATGCTCTGAGTAACTGCGCTGGCAGACAGGACATGTCACACTCTTCCCCTACGACACAGAAACAGACATTTTTCATTACAATACCATTTGAATACTTCGTACTGATGCTGCTGTGAATACTAATTACTTCCTCAGACTGGTCACCTGTTCCTGGTGTGTCCTCTGATGAGCCTGCAGCTTGTATTTGTCAGGTGTGGTGTATTTACACTCAGGATTGGAACAGCACAGCATCATTCCACTGTGCTTCTGGATCTGATGCCTCTTCAAGGAGCTTTTGGTGATGGATGAGTAGTTACACTTTGTACAGTAATGCAGGTGCTCCTTGGTGTGCGTGCGGATGTGGACATTGTAGTGGACTTTGTACCAGAACAGTTTTCCTGGGCAGCACAAAAATAAAACAGGAAAACCAATAAAGAAGCACTGAAAATGCAATAACAGTTAAAAACCAGTCAACTCAACAGGAAAAGTCCATCATACCACAGTACTGGCATTCCAGGTCTCCGTAGAATGTCCTCAGCCGCTGCAATGTCTCCATATTTAGGCGAGTCTTTCGAAGGGATGAAAACACCTGCTCAAAGGCACTCTGATGAAAAACCTCTGAGTCCTATAGTTAGAAATGAAAAATAAAAAGAACAGTTCCATAATTATTAATCACAATTTGTTTTAGAATTGTAGGTGCAATTCTTTGGTAATCAGCTAAATATCCAGTCAGACTGGTAACTGCAGAGAAAGAAATCTATTAAGAGGCAATTTATTTATTTTATTTTATCCACTTCACCTGGTCTGTTGTTTGTTTTTCTGCCTCTGAACTTGCTGCTGCTTCTGCTGTTGTTGTTGGAAGGTTTTCACCATTAACATGTAACTTTGTGCTGCCTGTTGTTGTTGCTGTTTGTTGTTTTGTCGGAGTCCCTTCCTCCATCGTCTCTTCTTCCACTTCTTTGGCTGTCCCTTTGTTTGTGTCCCTCACATTTTCTGTACTTTCACTCTGAGATTCAACTTCTCTCTGTGGCGTGCCCTTTGACTTCTCTTCTTGGCCACCGTTTACACCTTCCATTTGTATCGGCCGCTCATCTTCATCCTTCTTCTCCTTCCTGAGCTCACCCTGTACCTCACCCTTGTCTTCTCCCCTCTTATCCCTGTCCTCATCCCCCCACATGTCCCCTCCAGGTTGTATCAGATAGTAGCTTTTATTAATAGAGTGGCTGAACCCCTGCTCCTGGTCCAGTTCAGTGTGGGACTCCTGCAGGTGACTCTTCAGTCTCTGAGAGCTGACGAACTTCCTGTCACACTCGCTGCACACGTACAAGAAGAGATGTTTCCTGACGTGAGCGACGAGGGCTTCCATCTTGGTGGCAGCGTGGTCACAGAGCGAGCATACGAATGGTCGCTGTGGTCCATGGACCAACATGTGGCGCTCACGCTCCATCTGGTTCTTAAAGTGACGGTTACATGTGGGACAGTGGAAGAGGAGCTGCCTGAGGCCCTGACGAGTCTTTAACCTGAAAAACATTACATTACAGACTGTTTGTATGTTGTATTGTTTGAATGTAATTAATGATTAGGTGCTAGAGGTTGTACCTTATCTGCTGGTAGCTCTGATAGACAGCAGGGTCTTTGAGGTCATGTTTCTTCTCCACATGTTTCAGCAAATTTTTCACATCTGAGTACTTTTTGTCACAGAATGTACAATGCTGCTTCACCTTCATGTGGACTCTCTCTATGTGGACCTGCACAACCAGACATACAGTATTACATCACATATTCAACAAAACCAGTTGATGTGAACTAAATCTAAGTCTCCTTGGATGTCAACTATAATTAAATGAATTTAAATGCTTACATCTAAGATCAAAACTCTGGAAAGTTGCTTTTGTTAGAATAATTACTGCTTCTACTGAATAAATAATCATACCTTCAGGTGTCCTGGACTGAGACAGGAGAAAGGACAGTGTGGACAGCTGAACTTCTCTCCTGTGTGCTTCCTCAGGTGAACATTCAGGTTTGCTTTAGGGTTAAATTAAGTCAAGATATTAAGATTATTTGGGGGACTTTTTTGGTATTGTAATACTTGTGGAATTGGACCTGACTTCACCTTTGATTGTTGATGCATAGTCACAGTGAGGACACTGGAATGGTTTCTCCTGAGTGTGCACTCTGAGGTGAGCAACCAGCGTATGTCTGAACTTGAAGATCTTATTGCAGAACTCACAGGTAAAAATCTTCAGCTTACTCTGGTGCAAACTAGGAAGCAGATAGAGATTGTTTTATTCCTTTACTGCGATGTTTGTGGCTACCGTAAATCTCTAAAGAGAGATGAAGCTTTAAAGGTGTATCCCTTGATCCCTAAACAACTGCAACTACAGTACTTTCATTAGATAGTTAAATTTAAAAAATAACAATATTCTCATTACCTGGCAGAATCTTGTTTAATAGAAAATTCCTGGAAACCTCTGCTGACTGCTGTTTTTGTGTAAGTTAAACTAAAAACACAAAACAACAAAAGAGAAAAACAAATTACAGATTTACTTAATATATTGATGCAAGCTGTAATTTTTTAAACAAAGATAATTTTAATTAAATTTACTAATAATTATCTGTGTAGGTGAGAAAAAGAGTTTCTACTACAACTTAACACTGTACATTAACTAGTACATTACCTTTGCTCCTCATTTGGATCAGGGTTTTCTTCCAAGTTTTCAGGTTCTTTTGAGCGACTTTTGAAAACTACAGACTGACCACAAACATCAACAGAATAATTTGGTTCATCATAAAATAAAATCAATATATAAAATACACATTTACAGATTTCGCAGCCATTTCCCCTGGTATCATCCTGTTCGTACCTGTGCCTGATGTTTGTTGGCTTTAGACACAGTCTCTGCTGAATCATCCTCTACTGGAACAATTTTGTAGATACCTGTTGAAATTAAAGTAACAAAGTCTCAGTAACTACAAGTAGAAAAAAGGTCAAATTATGAAACAAGGTATAAAACTGACCTGGGAGAGATTCATTCTCTGCCAGGACAAAACCAAAGACAGAGTTTTTGTTTTCTGTCACTGGGCCTCTTTCTTTTAACATTTGTGTTCGATCTGAAGAGAAAAAGACAAGGACCAGCTGAATTTTAAAAAAGGCCAGAAGATGCAAACACACAGTACTTATATCTACTTCTTCTTATAGCCTCATAGTTAATTATTTTGCTGTATTGTTTCCAGACAGACAAACATGTGTAGAAAAGCCGTAATTAAATACTTTTAACATACCATTTTGTTTCACAGGTCCTGGACTCTCAGTGATCTGATTATTCTTGCTCAGATCAATTTTATCATGGTCTGGATTGCCATGATTCCCCTTTCCTGCGTTGAAAACAGTTCAGACTCAAACTATCTTTAAACCTTACACGAATGACACAGAACCTTAATGAATTTGTTTTAAGGTTCCTTCTGTGGTATTTTAATTCTTACCTTTAACCTCCTCATACTCTTCCACCTGCTCATCCTTGTAGCAGATGTGTTTGAGGATTTGTCGCCTGTTGCTGAATGTGCGATGACAGTTTCGACAGTTAAGTCCCAAAATCTCATCATTGTTTTCACCTGGTGAAAATGGAAATGAATAAAATTTGGTTTAGCTCATTCAAGGTCTAGAGTGTTTTAGTCAGTAATACCACAGTAAGACAAGCTCAGCCACAATGTCTGAACAAACCATATATCATTAAATAAAATTTCACATGACGAAGATCTAATTTATAAAAATGGAAGGTAGTAATATTAAGGTAGAACCAGCTACACAGTTGATTGCTAAATGAAAAACAATAATTTACAGATGATTAAATTTATTGTTTTACCTGCAATTACATTCTTTTGATTTATCTCCTTCTCACTCCCCTTTTCTATGTCTTGAAGATCCTCTTCTGGTGCCTGGGGGGAATCTGTCTTGGATTTTTTCGTTGACCCCTTCGGGCGTCCTCGCTTTCGCTTTACTTGGCTCTCTGCAGGTCAGTATAAACACAGAAAATCTTTGTATTTTATTTATATCATGGATAAGTATACATTTTTATTATTTGTAGTTTTTTCATTCAAAAACAACACATTTATATAGTATTTTATTTCTTTAAGCTTTCCACGTTAAAAAATAAGATTTAGTGAAGCCACAGTGATTCTGACCTTCTGGTGTCTCTACAGGTGCAGCAACAAGGGGTTGTAACACAGTGATTATGTCATCTGGGTGCGCTTCAGGGTGAAGCTGACTACAGTGAGCCAACAGTGGAGAACGACTGGGAGAGAAGAGGTTGCACAGCTGGCACATAAACACAGGACCAGCTAAAAACAGAGAAACCATAATGCTTTAAGATAATTGTTTTGATAAACAAAACCAATCACCAGAATACCCAGCATACATGTGGGCCTGAATAACTCGTGTATTTTTAAACCACCTGATGTATTAGAAATTCAGCTAATCTAGAATGCACTCAATTAATAGAAAAAAATGCATTTAAAAAAATAAATATATGTAATGTTTTATCGTGATAACTTCATAGTAGATCATTGATAAAGGTCTAAAACGTTTTAGTGTTTGTGAAAATACTAAAACAAAACATAAACAAAAAAATAATTAATGTGCTCAAATTCCCAGCTTCACTGGACAGAATGGAGAACCGATATAACAAATATTTCTTCCATGCTGAAGCTTATTTATCGTTAAATGTGTATATATGTGTGTTTACTTTACAATTCATGCATAAGCATGAATATAAAAAACAAATTAATTAATAATGCATAAGCATGAATATAAAAAACAAATATATTAATTTTACATTATATAAACAAAGTATACTATTTGGCCTTAGGACCTTAAAAAATAAGTTACGGAGTAAATCTATACAGAGTTAAGGGCAGACGTCACTTGGGCATGTTCTAGACCTTTGCTACATTTACGTAGTATAAACATACAACACAACTCTGTGGTTAAACTACTCGCAGCAAAGTTAACGGCGTATGTTTATTTTGTGGGTCAAGTAAAAATGAAAACCTGAGAAAACATTCGAGCTCAAGCTAAACTCTTACCTGCTCTGCAGTCATCCATTTTCAATCATCTCAATGTTGAAATAAAATGTGCATCAAAAAAATAACAAAACCTGTATGATAGTATAAATATTTTCCTAAAGGATTTTAAAGATATTTTATATATCTTTACGTTAAAATGACTGTCGAATCTGCGACACGAGTACTGTCTTCCAGTGACGCCATACCGGAACCAGTTCTCAAGCAGTAGTAGTAAAGAAGCAGACAGCGCCCTCCCTCCGGCGGGATGACTACAACGCAGACGCGCTTGTTAACTGCATTCGGTTTGTCATGGTTTTATTCGAAGTAAGTTCGGAAAGTCTGATATTATGTATTGTATATGGATATTGTCTATGTAGTTATGCATTGTGTAATTTTTTGGTTTTTCACTGTAATGTTTTGTGATGTGGTCATTTTGACCATGTGTCTTTAAAAAAAATCAGGTCTCTGGTTAAAAAACAAACATAAAAGGCCTTTAGTAGGAAAATATTTTCAAAATCATGGAATAACATGTACCATGTACCAGGAATAAAGATAAAATCTTTATTAAACAATGCAAGAAATAAATGTGGACATTTACAGCCTTTTTTTACATTAAAAATATTGTATCAACCTCCCAGACACACACACACACATATATACACGTACTTATTTTACATTATTTTCTAATTATTATTTTCTTAGTGACATAAAAGCTATGATAAGCATTATAACTATAATAAATTCTCAACTTAACATGACACATTTCTTAATTACAATGAAATAAGTCAAAAGCAGTTGTTTATACACGTCAATCAGAGAAACTACAACAACTACTACAACAACTTACTACAAATATGTGTGTCCGATAAAACTTTTCTGAACTAAAAAAAGCCAAAAAGATGTGACAAAGCACAGTGAGGTCAAACAGCATTATGCTTCAATCATATACACACACCAGGCTATGTGCTGGTGTAACGGATGTCATCATATTACAGTTTATATGTATCCAGTTATTTTCATTAACTCATGAAGCCAAAAATGATTTATTGTTCTTTGAAAAACTTTATAGTCACCAATAGGATTAAGTTTAATCTAATTTACAGTTTGATGTTAGAAACTTGTAATTATCTCAGAAACAACAGTGAGTTTGTTCACGTCCTTTGGGAAATCACTTAATGCTAACAATTTTCCTTCAATGACCTCAGTTAACCAAGCATACATAATGCACTCGCAGATATGTAAACACAATACTTAAGCGCAGTCAGTGTCTTTATACCAAAAAGTGGCTGTAATCAAACTTTATAAAGCTTAGTGTTTGCGATTTTTTTAATCCTTTTAAAGTTTTTATTTTTTGTATATTGTTTGTAATAAACACAGAACAAAATGCTTTTAATTCCCCTCCAACAGACTATAGTCAGAATCACAAAGAATAATAGTTTAGTGTATAATCATAACATAGCTCTTCATAATAACATCCAATTTAAATGTGCACAATGTTATTTTTAGTAATTCAACGTGTTCCAGTGTCCTCATCCTGTAGGTGCATACAGTATCTTGGTTGGTTTCAATTTTGAATCTGATAGAACTTTTTCTGACCAAAAAAAACAAATTGTAAATGTGCATGTGATTAACAGACCCATTTATCAAAGCTGATATTGCCTCAAAATAAAAAAATAATAAAAGTACTCAACCAAAAACAGCAGATGAAGCAATAAAAGTATTACATTCATAAAATCCCATCCAAAAAGGGATATTGATGCTGGTGAGAGAAGGCGTATGTGGTTGGATTCCTGAGAATGATGTGTGTCAGTGTGTCTGTGTGAGTGTGCTATGTGCTTCACATAGTGCAGCACTTGGTCTTGTGTGTGTGGGAATCTTTGAAACGGAGTCTGTGCTTGGATCGATATTTCTCCAGGTAGGTGAGCTGTTTGCTGTTGATGGCTCCACGACGCTTCCTGAGAACAAACACAGAGATTTTATTTGTATTTATTTATTGGTCATATGTATAAGGCTTAAGATTTGTCTTATGTGTTGGTGATCCATTTGCCACTTTCTTTTTTTGGGGGGGGGGTGTGGGGGGGGTTCAGGACACGACCTGAACGTGTATAAAATCAACACCACAGCTGAAAAAACTAAATAGATTTATAACGAAAATGAAAGTCGATATTCTAAATATAAAAATAAAGAACATTTATAAATATTTATATACCCAAATATAGATTCCTACTTACTGCCTGATAAGCTGAATAGCATCTTCATATTTCATACCACTCTCTATCAGAGCCAAAGCAACCAACACAGGTGCCCTGTACACAGAGGAACAGACAAATAAAAACGAATACAAAAATGATTTTAAAAGTTAAGTTAATTGTGTCGAAAGCCTTACCGTCCAAGTCCGGCCACACAGTGAACTGCTACACAACTTCCTGGATCCTCCTGAAATGTTTTCTTTAACAAACTCAACCAGTCGTCAACGAGCTTGTTTGGGGGCGGAGCTCCATCATCAAAGGGCCAATCCTGAAAGAGAAACCACACACTGGATGATCCAGCGCGGTCCTCATCTAGAGTGTTGTTAAGTGTTGTGTGCTTCTCACCACCACAGTGATGCCATCTTTTTCAAGTGGTGATTTATCATAAGTGATGTCACACACTCGGACCACAGTCGTTGCTCCATAACGCTTCAGGTCCTGGAAGGGCCATAAGTAGACAGCTGTGTGTATTTGATTGTTATCTGAATGTAACGGGAGCGATCACAAACACAATGCCCACCTCTATGAAGGATCCGAGTGTGCTGTCTGTGGGATTGTGGGTAATAAGGAATCTCATGTTCTTGTGGGTCAGTTCGACTGGAGCTGGACGGTTCATGGTGGCCAACTGGACTTATAATTTTGCAGGATGACCTCTAACCTTAATATATCATCAGGAAGTAGTTAATATTGATATTTACATAGGACCGGTTTGTTGGCTACTGCTAATATCACTTATTCCTGATTGGATTTGGACACACACAGGGGTTGAAAAAATGTAATTTATCAGATCACCAAAATTAAAGAATATATTTTCTATCTCCAGTCTTTATTCAGGCAATAGCTTTTTTTGTGCTTTTTCTGTAGTGTCTGTAGAAAAAATAAAAAGTACACACATTTCTAAAAGTTAATACATGCCAAATAATGGTAAACACTAAATAATGGAAGTCATGAATGAAAGACTTTGGTTTGTTTTCAGACAAGAGCCCAATTTCTTTTTAATATGTATTATATAGTCACAGCAACAGCTCATCAACAGTTGACAATATGAAATTAGACGTAACAATAATATAGTGAATTCTAAGTATTTTGTAAGACCTAATTGTAAATTATTTAAAATAATTTAATGTCCTAAGAAATGGGCCTGTATAGAATTGTATGTACATGTAAAACTACTATTTATGTATTATATAGAAATACATTTTGTATTTTTGAAATACTAATTAACTGAGGTGAGGGTTTTAATTCAACCTGGTTAGTAGTTAACACTCACCTTGAGCTCCACCAGCACCACCTGCTGCTCTGTCTTCTGTGGGACTCCAAGTGTTTGCAGACTCGTCTGTCAGTTGTGGGACGTCCTGTTTATTACTAATAAAATATTCCAAGGTCCTGATGGTTAGTCTGTGTCCTTTAGTCCAAGAGGCTACAGTGTGTCAGGTTTGTCCCTTGTCTTTGTTAATCTTTAGAGCTCTCCAGCCCTTACTCACTTTCTCACTCTCTCTGTCTCTCGATTTCGTTCTCAGTAGCTGTCTCTCTTTCTCTCCCCGTTTCTCGCCTCTCCCTCTGTCTCTGTCTCTCTCTCTTTCCTCCCCTGTCTCTCCAGGTAGCTTCTGGTTTGCGAGACTCCACTTGTTACCCCATCAGCTGGCTCGTTCAGAGGATCGGAGGCAACAGTCTTTCAGGGTTCAGGGCCCCAGGATGACATTGTGCAGCATCATCCCACATAGGGTCTAATTGTGTTGGGCGTGGCAGTAGTCACCACTCCGTCGCACAAACTCCATCAACTGGCAGTTCTATAGTAATGAATAAACAGACAGGAATATAGAACAGAAAGTCAACAGGAGGAGAAAACTGTCCTATACTGATGAACTTTTATCTCTTAAGAAGCGTTACATCAGAAACCACGGTGCAGGTGTTCCCACATAGGCTGCAGCAACTTTAACAAAACATTGTAGCTTTAAACATTTCATCAGAACATCATGACACTCCCACAGAAAATATTATACGCATACTAAGCTATAAGTCAATTTTGAGACGTAAAGTTCATGAACAGACACGGAGTCTTCAGCAATTTGTCACATTTAGTATAAGTACTTGAACCAAATATATGCTATAATATACACAGTACAATATATGTCATTTAAATGAAAGGTGAACGACTGACCTGCCTGCAGTCCAGATCTGTCCCCTCATTAACATGGGAACTTGAAAACTTTACCTGTGGCAATTTAATAAATGATGGGTTCACTAAAAATAGAACACCTCTAAAGATTAGCCTGTAAAATATCAGCCAAATAATATCTGAACTAGAAGAGAAAATATAAACCATGATCTTATAGTTTGATTTATCTATCTAAAATATGGTTTAGCTTTTATGTAGTTGTTGTTCATAGAAGACATTTAAAGGCTTAACCTTTTCCACTCAGTCCTGCCAAAACATTCAGACAAACAATACGGAAAAGTTATATCTGGATCTGTGATCACCTATTTACTCACTCACTCTCTCTCTCTCACACACACACACAAACATGCACACACACACACTTCATAATCACATGCTCTTTCAGAAGATTGTGTTCTGTTCAAGGCTGTTTACTATCTATTATTAGGACTTAATTTTGTGTTATCCCAATGAAAGCCCGAGGACAGGACAACTGACAAAAACAAAGAAGATTTAAAATTGTTGAGGTTTTTGTTAGTCTATTAAGCAGCATGAGTCTAAATATCAATCAGAGGTAAAGATTAAATAAAGAAGAATTAAAACACATGCATCAACAACGTAGTCATAGGTAAGATAAAACTAAGAAACCGACTAGGTACGGACAAAAAAACAGCTTTTTTTAAGTAACCAAAGCCAGTGATTCCCAAATGTAATACCTTTTCATATCGCTGGTCTTTACCTCTACAGCAAGAAGAAAGCCAAATAGGCTAGGAGGAAAGAGGATGCCAAATTTGATTGATCACAACGTACTGTATGATTGACAGCAGGATTATCCAACAGGAGAACAAAGATCGGGGAAATTCAACACCCTCACAAGGTCGGCAATGTTTACCGAAAAATTGACCTCACAGCTGTCCATCATATGTATTGACCAAACAAAGTCATCCTGCCCTGAAGATGAATAGCTGAGGTTATAATAACACAATAATATAATATTTTAATATTATGAGTGAAATGTCGTAGACTTACAGTATATACAAACAATGTCACTTTTGAAACTAGTCGTCCTCCTCTTAGCCTCATCCTGCAAACACGGTCAGCGGAAGAGGTCGCTGTCCAGTCGGTAGTTTCAAGATTTGATTATTTGACAGCCTTTGCCATAAACCACAGCTGGATTTGTTTAAAATTACCTATAGATCCACAGGTGGTTGTTGGCATGAAATCCCTTTCTCAACAATAGATTTGTCTTAAACATTGATGGCAATGTTATTTTGGGCCTGTTTTTTTTTTAACAGTACTACACTAGTGAATAATATATAAGCTCATTAGTGGTCAGACAACAACAAGACAGGTAAGCAGGCTCCAATCCTGTTACAGCACCTTTCACTCTACATCCTGGCTGTACCTTCAGAGGAACTGTTATAACTGCTCAAATCAGCAAATGCTTACTGATGGTGTTTTCTTTTTCTTTTCTTCTTTCTGTATTCAGTTGCTCCTCTTACCTCAGTGAACAGCTCTGCTGCAGAACAGGAAAACACACAAACCACCAAGGCAGACAGTTTCTCCAAAGTTCTGCAGAAGCAGCAGCAGCAGTGAAGCCTACAACAGTTTGAAGGTGCTGACATTCAGCCAGCTGACTGCCTGATATAGGAACTGAATACCTGCAGCTGTATTTATAGCAGCATCTATACTGGTGGCTGCTTCTGTGACACATCAATGTTTGGGAGAGGAAAAGGGAATTCAGTGCCAGTTACATGTTTATTTCATCTCACTTTAATAGAGTCTAATCTGATCGAATAATCACTGTAGTGGAAATAAAATTCTATGTCCTTTCTATTTCTATTGTATTTTCATGTAAAAAAGCAGCATAATATCAGCATCAGTCTTGACGTTGTCTTCAGGGACATTTTTAATAATGCAGCAAAAGACAGATATAATGCAGCATCAATTCAAAGTGCATCCTTACCAGTTAGCTCTTCACTGTCATGTCCAAACAGACAGACTGAACGGTTGTTCCTCTGCCTTTTTCCCGTAGTTAAAGTCCACCTGCTGTCACTCTTCTCCAGCCAGCAGAATCTGTAATATCTGGTTGCAAAGACAGAAAGTCTTTCTGTGTAACAACCTGTGGCTCTGCTCCACAGTTCCTCTTTGTGCTCCTCACTGCAGTGAGCAGTTTATCACTGCGTTCCAGTGTGTGGCTGTGTTTTGCTGTAGTAATCAGTGCAGTGAGCAGTGTGTCAGGCCAAGGATCTGCTGTGAGCTGGTCTAATCAGGCTGAGCAGCCATCTGACCCTGACAGCCCTGTCACTACCAGAACACTCTCCAGTTAATGCTCTTAGAGAGAGGGAGAGAGGGTGAGAGAGAAAGAGACAGAGAGGTGGGGGGTGGGGGGAATTCTCGCCCCCTTCCTCATCTTCCTCATCTTCATCCACTCTTCTACTTTCTCCCTCTCCTTCAGCAGACACTTACTTGGTAAATAAGATGTGTTGTTCCCTCCTCATCCCTTCTCCTCCCCCTCCTCTTCCTCACCCAGCACTAACCTCACACTTCCTAAAGGCTAATGATTGCACAGTCTAATAGTTTGCATGAGACAAAGCAAACACAGATTAGTGCCTTAGTCCGGTTACCTTGTTAAGTTTTTCTCATCGACATTGCCGTGCCACAAATGTCTTCTCTTGTTTTCCTTGTCTCCCTTATTCCCCTCCCATTCCCCTGTTGGAAAGACTAAAAATAGACAGTCCTTTGAGCCATCAGACAGATTGAACAAGTGAAACGTTCAAGCCTCAGTTCACAGAATTTACTTTCCATATAAGTGACAACAATACCTGGCTCTTTGTTTTCCTGCAGCTGGAAAAACAAGGAGCATGTAATCTCAATCTCAACACACGTCTCTTCAAATAGAAAACATACCTTAAATTTTGATGCACGATGGCACTGCAATGAAAACACATACATACATAGATAATAAGGAGAATACCTGAGACAGATGTAAAATTACATGTTTAATAGCAGTACATGCAAGAATTCAGGTGGTAAAAATACAATTTGTAGCTCCTGTCCACCCCTGTAGGGGGAGTTGAAAAAATATTATATTTGCATGTTTTACATTATATAATGTTTTTTAATAGTAGCAATCAAGTACATTTACTCTAGTGGTACAAATACATGTAATGGTTGAATTTACCCCTTCTCAGTGCATGTGTACTAAAAGTATCTACTACGAAAGTTTAAATTTTTGGTTACTTTAGGCAAATGTAATAACCAGGTTATCTCGCAAAAACCTGCAATTAGCAGCAATGCTATCACACCACAGCGGCTCACCAGAAGTATTGAAAGGTAACAAAGACTTCCTGAAATAATCCTGTAATGGCCTACAGGACTTGCCAATTCAGACCACAAGAAAGTCACAAAGGCAGTGACAGGCTGAGGGTTTTTAAAAAAGAAGAACCTGCTGCTGCTTCACCTGATGATCAACAGTTTAGAAATGAAGTGTTAGCTGTTGTGTTAGCTGTGGCTAACATCAGGCTTCTTTCTTCTTTCCCCTTCTTCTTCTTCTTCTTCTTCATTTTCTTCTTCAAAAACCTTTGTTGGTACATGTGGCAGCTGTCACTTCTGCCTGCTGTGACGTTGGTGACTTGTGTTATTCCACTCTTTTTAATGATGAGACCTGTCACATGTTTTTTGTCCTAATAACGAGCCTAATTTTAGACACAAGTGGTGATCAGCAGACGCTCAACACAAAAGTATTAGGTGACAAACTAAAGGGAAGGGAAGTAGAATGAGATAGAGGAACGCTTTGACACTGTGAAAGTAATAAAAATAAAAGGGCACGTTGACCTTTTAAAAGTGTGTTCAAGTAGCAAGGTGTGAGGAATACTTATCCTATGTACTTCAATATACTTCACTTTAAAATACAAAATCACAAATTGATAATTAACTCATATTTATGGTACAGTAGGCAGTGTTCTTCCAAAAAGGACAAATAAATACATGCTGTACCTTTGTGTACAAGTCTAAAGGTTTAAATTATGAATTAAAAAGTATTTTTTTATGAAAATATATTTCTTTAAATGAAATAAAATAAAATATATAAAAATAAATCAATAAAATACGAAAACTTGTCAAAGCTTTTAGAGACACCTGCAGGACGTGGCTCAACATGTTTTGGTTCTGTAGGGGACATTTTGGACATTAGCTAAAGACTTCAAGGGCAAATACACTATTTGCTTATTTTAATAGAGGTTTAAATTTATATACAATGTAGATTAGTTTCAGTTCAAGCTACCATCACACAGTGAGTTCAAAAATAAGATTAAATAAAAAACTTCTATTGATAATCTCTACTTTTCCTTTTCCAACACGCTAGTCAGGTATTTGAAAATGTAACTCAATCAACCTGAGATGTCACTTCCATCTTTATTTGCGTCACTGTTTCCTAGAGCTCACACACGCTCTGGGCGATCAGTCTGGTCATTCTGATCTGAGAATGACCATCTGTTTTGATGCCACAAATGGCAGTGCACTGGCCCAAACATGGTTGCTGCACAGCTTCTGGAAATATGAGCTGACACAGAGTGTGTCAAATCTTAGCTAGCAGCCTTGTGCTTTTTTGAAGAGCTCAAAGGACACTTTAGACTTGGCTGAGGACTGTTTCATAAAAGCAATGAGTTGACCTGAACGGTGTCATCTTTCACCACTTCTACAGCAGAACAAGTCACAAGTCATAATCTAGAGTTTGCACATGATGAAGAACACGATAGGTACCGCTTGTTCTAGCCTCATTTTTATTGTGTACAAAATAAAAAAGATGCTAAGCATACTGTATACCTTGTTGTCCTGTTTAGGGTTCGGAATATCACGTTTTTAGCCTAAATGCTGAAGTGATATCATTTGGGCTTCCTTGGTTATTTCTGTGCTGGCTATATATTTCGCTAACTACAGTATTAGCATTTGTTTGGTTTACTTTCAGCTATATATTTGGCAATGTGTTTAAAATGACATTGAGACCAAAATGAAATTTTCATTAACATCCAGTCGAGGCTAGAAGTGGCTAACAGGCTAAGAGTTTGTGTTAGTGTAACTGTATACTAATTGTATTCTGGTGTAACTGTAATATACTTCAAGTCAGTTTTGTTTGTTTTTCTCCTGGCATTTTTATATGGTACCAGTTTGACAAGGAAGATATATTTCTACTCCGGCTGAAAAAACTACCTTTAAATGTTAATGTACTATTACGAGCTCACCTCTGACATTTTTAACATTATATTGAAATATTCCAAGGGCGTTTTGGTCTAGATTTTAGTGAATACGGTTTGTACTCCCTGTATATGTACAACACCAACTGTAAATAAGGAATATCATTTAGAGTACCATAAAAACAGGGAAAATGCTTGTCTACACATCAGATTAATAGATACATAAACAATTAAACTAATCCATATATATTATTTATTATATATTTGTTGCAAATGTTGTCAGCGACCTAGAATATTCCTGGTAAGATGTTTAAGGTATTATGTAATTACTGCTTCATTGGAACTTGTCGTCATCACTATAAGATCTAATCTGGCTCAATGCCTCCACTTGTGTCAATGCAGTGTACAAATACTTCACCTGTTATTGAGGTGGACAGCTATTTCCTACTCTTTTGTGTTCGTGCCATTGATGCCTAATGAATGAATATTGCTGCAATGCAAGTGGGGTTAATTTGGACTTATTTCGTGTGTTGATATATATACAATTACACATTGCGTCCCTCACACTGGAGCAGTTTGTAATACGGTCTGTGAGGCACACCACTTATGCAGCAGTGTGAAATACTCTGTTATTCCCTTGAGTAACTATGAAGAAACTGGATATGAAAGGGAAGCACAGTCACTTCCAACAGATTTATCTTTATCTGGGCGAGCTGACATTCACTGTTTCAAACACAAATACTGACAACAAATAATATCTGAACAGCACAAAGTGGCAACAAATGAGATTTCATAGTAAGATGTTCCAGCCACTTTGCTGAAACTCAAGTTTGTTATTTGTCAGGCTATATATACAATAGAAATGTTATAATAATAATGTAAAACATAAAGCCCAAATAGTATTTTTAGATTTTTTTCAATCAGTATTTGGATGGACGTTTTCAACATGTTAAACCCCAGTCTTGTGAATGACTAAACAGTTTTACCCTAGGTTTCTTAAATGTGGGTCAGGGAGCTACATTTCGAGGTCGAGGGAATACAACCCAACACTGGTTTTGTCTAGTTCAGTACATTGACTCTCTTTTTTTTTCTATGGACGATGTTGTTTTCTTTAAATTAAATCAGTTAATGTATCTTAATAGCAGCTTTATATTATTGGACAAAACAAAATATTATACATTTGTCATATTTGATACATTTCCAAAATGGTTACTGATGGTTAATATGGTGAGCTGTTTCCTAACTTAACCTAACTCACCTCTCCTAACCAGGCCTGTTTGTATAGTGTGTAGAACAGGAGTGTCACTCTCATTTTTGTTCAAATTACCATGGAAATGTTTAATTTTTAAAAAATGAAGTAAAAAAAATATTCTATTTAATTTCACACTCTCTAAGGTTTCCCAGGCCAGATGAAACGTTTAGTTGGACTTGATTGACTGAAAGGATGTATTTTTGACATTTGGAGGCCTAGAATGAGAAAGAAGAAAAAACATTTTGCTCATTTTTTCAGTTATGTACCCAGCAGTAAAGTAAGACATGAACAAATCTCTGAAAAACATGGTCACAGGATGACCCACATAAACACGTACACAGAGTGAGGAAAATCCTAAGCATGCCTACTAACAGAGAGAGAGAGAGAGAGAGAGGGAGACTGCTGCATGTGTTGGGCAGCAGCAGCTGCTGGGTGTATAATTAGACTGTTTTGAAAGCTGAGAGTCAGACAGCAGGACTTTCACCTGAAAAGTGGACAGTTACCATGGCAACCGTTGTCCAAATGACAATACGAACCACTTAATAAATCACACATGCAACAATTTTTCAGCATATAGGTCAGTGAGGAAATACGTTGATAAATAGGAGACCTGTCTTTTCAAAAGCCCTCCCATTTAAGTAAGCCCTGGAGGGTCAAGTCATGGCATTGGATATTTGTTAATTTTCTACAAATAATGTACAAATGTTTGTTGTTGTTTTTTCTGCATAGGGTATTTTCGGCCTCTGTCACAATCATTAGTCACTTAACCATATCCTTAGATTCCTGGCTTACACAATTCACTTTCCATCTCACTGTCCATCCCTTCTGTTTTGGAACAGCAATGTCTGCATCATGGGATATCCTTCACAAATGGAAGCAAACACTTAAATTGATTGGTTTGTAACCATGGTCAACACAAAATAAAGCACCAAAAAGGAATTAGTTCATTTTTTTTAATATACTGTATGTGCAATTGAAATGTTTGAATTGAAAGTGTTTATTCAGGTAACATTTTTTCTTGAACACGTGGAACAACTTCAGAATATACGTTGGTCCAATTAAAATATATATATATATAATATTTATATATATACAGTATAAATAAAAAAGAGGCAGCAGGGCAAATAAATTAAATGTAAGAGAAGCTATTAAAAGAAAACAGGGCAGTGGGATGAACTTCTGACCTTCGGGCTTACCGCTGCTGCCATGCTGTTGTTGCATCCAGGCGGTCTATATGAAATCTCCACCTACTGGACACTATAAAGAACTTCAACAGAGTTAAAGGGTATGAATTTACACGAGAGGAAGTCAAAAAGCTCTTCGTATTTATGAATATAATAAATATAATATAGATAACTCGCTACATGTACTCAATTTATGTCAAAACAAGCAGGGAGGGAGAATTATTTCTTTATCGAATTTACCAGGTCACAACTTTCCTTAGTCTGAACAGAAGTCCAGTTAGTTTATAATGTTCTTAATCTATTGGAAATGGAAGAATCAAAGTAGCTAAATTATAAGCTGTTTCCATCCCTTACTATTTTGCAAAATTTTATAATCAGGTTTGATTAAAAGAAAAGTGCGTCAACGGGGTTTGGTAATGAACATTGCCATAAAAGACATGTCATTTCTGCTTTTTTTGGTATGAAAGAAAACATGAAACTAACAAGTCTACATTGGTAATAAGAAATGATAGTGCACTCAGTGAAACATTGGCGATTTTTATGCATATCATAAATACAAAACAATTACATATATATACAAACAACCTTTTTCTCCTACAGAGGGTGATGTTGCAGTTCGATACAGTTGTGAGCTCGAACAATAATATCGTTTTATTTAAACAAAATTCGAAATGTTGTACAGTAAATATCATATGCAATGAATTCGGTGCCAGCAATATATTTTAGCTTTCTTGGTGAGTAGTTAGATACTTCCGTTAACAGAGCAACAGTTTCTAAAGTGGTCACATGTCCCTCAATAAAGATGTGGGCCAGCAGTCAATGCTGAATTAGGCTAACAGGCCAGAGCTTAGACGGAGTTAGCATGATGTTAAAATGGCACCAGACTGACGTGAGGCTGGGTAAGACCCATCTGCTTCCCTCTGCTCTACAGCCACGACTAAATGGATTATCGTGGGGCACAGTGTGCTAGTTTTGATGTGACATTTCAGAGTCAATGGAGTGGTGACGCTGAAATCTGACAGATATCCATTCATCCTGCTGTTGGCTGTCTGCTGGTCCAACTGCTAATTTAATTGGTTTGTGAACTCATTTCAACTGTCCTGTGAAGTTATTAATAATTAATAATTTCCGATTACTGTTCCTATTCCGAAGTTATGTTATAAGTAAATAGGCAGACGGTTTAAATGTTTTTTTGTTTTTGTTTATTGCACTTCAACTGCATTTTAGAGTAATTAGTTGAATAGTGAGAATTTCTTATTATTTTATAATGTTCACTTGAGAAACGGAACATACTCTCTATACTTAATACATCGGGAAAGGGTTTTATCATTTCATAATAAATTGTAACAATTTATATCTGCTTTTGAGGGAAACATTTAAAAGTGCAAAGTTTTGTGAAGAAGTCATTATAGCTTACAGGGCACTTTATTAATATTTATATATTAATAAAGGATGTATATGTACTTTGTTTGTATTTGAAATTTCATTAGTCTATGTTTTTACATATTATAATCAAAAGTAGATTTGTATAATTTATAATCTTTTCATCAAAAGAAGACTTTTTTAAAATAAAAGTTCAACTTGAACTTATCTGTATTGGATATGTATATCAAAATAAATGCCCACTCTAATCTATTCATGGATTTGAATGTAAATTATACAATTCTGAATCAATTTACTCAAAGCCCAGCCTTATTTTTCACCCTGGTGGATATGTTTATTTACAAAATTAACGCTGAGTAACTAATTCAAAGTGTCTTAATGCTGTGTAACAAACACATGCCAGACAGAAAAGCTGTCCAGGATAAGTAAACATACATTATTAGAAAGATCAAGGTTACTGACCTGGAGATGGCTGAATGTTTTCCTGCAAGTAGCAGATGGCACTCAGAGATTAGACAGCTGACGTGGTTGAACTCAGGTGCTTTCAATCATGTGATACATAGCAGCAAAAAATACAAAAATGAACCAAACCAGAGACCAATACTGCCAAATATTTAATGTATTAAATAAAGGAAAATAAGGAAGTTACTTTGCTATTTAGGGCATTTTAAAATAAATGAAATAACATCTTTGGTCATTTTTTTTCTCATTATTTTGTTTTACTGCCTAGCCCACTGATCTTTACTGTTGTTACCGAACTGTCTTTTACCCTTTTTTTATGCAAAACACAACTTTTTATACATCTTGGGGGAAGACAACAGGCTAATATAAGATTAAAACAGGAAGCCACCAGTTGGAGGTTGGGTTAGGGATTAGCAACAGATCAGTGTCAGAGGATATATAAACCAGCTCAGTCAGACAGGTGGTCACATGCTAAACATCCAAGACAACTATATCTTTACCTTATTCTTGTCCTTTCATTATTTAGCAATTATAAATAATTTTTTTTTTTTTGTTTTTAGCTTTAATTATTTTTACTTCAGCAGCACAGCAGCCATGGTCCTGGAGGAGAACGAGACTGACTCTATCTTTGAGCCACAAATCACTGTAAGTATCACAGAACATTGTAATTAAAACTGTGGGTGGATACACTGTTATAAAACCAAGTATTTGCCCTCATGGCAACTGTGGTCATCAGTCCGTCAGTCATCAGTTTGTTTGTTTGTTTGTTTTTTTGGTGCACTTAATATAAAAGAGTTACTACACAATGTATGTTTTCTGTTGAACTGTAATGACTGACACCTGCAGCTAAGCTCACAGTAACAGGATTACACAGTCACAACAACCAAACAAGCAACAACACATTTAACTTAACTGTGTTTCTGCCTCTAGGATGAGTTTGTGGAGACGCTGTATGGAAATGTCCACTGCATCCTGAATGGGACTCCAAAGGCAAACCGGCCGGTCATTTTGACCTTCCACGATGTTGGACTAAACCGTAAGCCCCTAAATGCAAAACAAATATACAAGTATATACAGACAAGTACAGCTACAGCTCAGCAACTATGCATATCATATCATATAGGTCAGATAAAAAATATATAATTCTGCTGCCAGTGGTACACTCTACAGTTTTTACATCTCTCACATCTTTTCCACACACAATAAAAATGTTTTCTTTGACATCTTTCAGATAAGACCTGCTTTGAGACTCTGTTCAACCATGAGGACATGTATGAAATCGTCAGACATCTACCTGTCTGCCATGTTGAAGCACCAGGACAAAATGAGGCAGCCAAAACTCTGCCAACAGCGTAAGGACTTGTGTTTAAAACACCATCATTGCTTTATTATCCTTATTTTGTCTACATTAAGTATTAAAAATACATCATAATTTTGATTTCGCAGCTACGTGTACCCCACCATGGACCAGCTGTCTGAAACACTTCCTGCTGTCATCAAACATTTTGGGTAAAACACAGAGTTGACCCACTAAAACTTTTTGGTTGACCTTATTGTTTGACCTTCTTAACATTCAGCTTGTCGGCTTTGCAGATTCCGTAATGTCATTGGAGTTGGAGTTGGAGTCGGAGCCTACATCATGGCGAAATTTGCTGTGAGTTCAAATCCCTGTATCTACAGTAACTAACACAATGGTAACTGATACAAATGTCTGAGAAAACATTACAATCAAAAGACTGCAGTGTGTCCAGTAATACGCTATTTAGAAACAAACAAAATGTCTAAAATGAACACAAACATCATCAACTGCTCTGTGTGTATGTCTCTATGTAGCTAAACCACCCTGACCTGGTCGATGGATTAGTACTGCTCAACATCAACCCCAATGCTGAGGGACTGATGGACTCTGTTGCAAATAAGGTATGTGTGTACAGTATAAATGTGTAGTATTTGCAATAGAAACGGTAGTATAAAGATATGATGTTTACTAATAGTTTCTGTCAAAGCTACTCAACTGCCCAATGATCTTCATAATTCTGGATAATTTCTTTTGTTACTTTTTTGTATTGTTTTCTATTGACTTCTATTTTTAAGAGCTAACATCAATGACATTGCTCTTTATATAAGTTCATCTTCAGAAAACCTTGTAAATAATATAAAGATTATTGGTCTCTCAACACATGTATTTGTCCCATTTGTTTAATAATCTGCATGATTTGTGCACATTTCAGATTACTGAATGGACCCATACTCTCCCAGACACAATCATCTCACATTTGTTTGGAAAGGTAAATTCCAAAGGCCTTCTGTGTCTCTGTATCCCTCGTTTGACCATAACAATAACAATAAAGTAAAATTCAATTTCACCCCCACAAAAGAAAAACTAAATACATTTTTTAGGAGGAAATCCAGACCAACCTCGATCTCATAGCTACGTACCGTCATCACATCACAACAACCATGAACCAGTCGAACGTCAGCCAATTCCTGCGCTCCTACAAAAACCGTATTGCTCTGGAGATGGAGAGGCCTGTTCCTGGGGTCAACATCAATGTCAGGACACTCAAGTGAGTCTTAGTCCACCATGGTAAATCTTTTCTTTCCCATCATCATTCCCAACGGCTAAAGCAATACCATACATTTTACTCTAATCCAGTTCAAAATAAGAGAACTCTGGTCCTTCTCTGGCTGTTTAACACCTCTCTATGTGCTGTTTAACAGATGCCCCACTCTACTGATTGTGGGAGACAATTCTCCAGTTGTGGAGGCTGTGGTCGACTGCAACTCTAAACTTAACCCCACCAAAACCACACTGCTCAAGGTAACCAGAAGTGAAAAGGCACATATAAAAGCATACATAGAATGTATAACATTTTTTTCTTTTATTATAATAAGCCACATTGTCTTGAAACCGGCGTATTTTTTAAATGAATCCACTGACAATGTTGTTGTCTTGTTGCTACAGATGGCAGACTGTGGAGGTCTTCCTCAGGTGGATCAGGTAGGCTGGGGATTTTTATTTGGTAGTCTACTGAAACTGTTTTTCAATTCTTTAATCTTTTTTTGGAGTGTGGTTGAATAATGTTTTAATATGTGGGATACTCACAAAATAAGCCAAATAGTAATTTCAAATAAATCTTGTTTGCCAAAAGTAGATTCTAGCTGTTTATTCTCATCTACACAATAACACAGTGTTTCAGCAAAGAAGTATATTGAAGAAAACAATTGAAACAAATAAACTAAACAACAAAGTTAAAGTAAGAGTAGGCAAAAAACAGGTTTTTGAAAAGAAAGTAATTGATCTTGTGAAGGTTCCTATTTTCTTTTTGTATTGTCTTGTTTTTCCCCTGCTGTTATGCACCAGTAAATATTGCTTTATGCTCAGTACTGACAAATGCCAAATACAATGAATGGACAAAACTAAACACTGTACTTAACTTTTTAAAAAAATATTTATTTTTTCTTTCCACAGCCTGCTAAAGTGACTGAAGCCTTCAAATATTTCATTCAGGGCATGGGATATTGTAAGTAACTTTGTTAAATCAATTTCTGTATTATATGTAGGTTTTTCTTACAGTTATAGTAAATCAGTCAACTAAAGAGATATTGATACCCACTGCCAAAATCATTCATTCTTTCATATCTCCACAGTGTCCAGTGCCAGTATGACCAGACTTCGTTCGAGGACAGCATCCAGCTCCAGCATCTCATCCTTTGAAGGGTCGAGGAGCCGCGCACACACCAATGAGAAACGTGGGCGCTCACACACGGATGTCTCAATAGACAGCATTTCCAATAATAATATGGCTCAGAGCATCTCCAAGTCCACTGAAATGGCATGCTAGAGCGCACTTTACTCAAAGTCAGATGCACTTAGATTAAATTATAGCTCATATCCACTACATTCTATTCTACACTCTATTTTTATTCCCTATTCATAGCATCTACCTTTGTAACCCTGCATATTTCCCCCCGTCTTTGTCTTACTCATATCATATATTTGTTCTCCTGATAAAAATCTCTCTCCCATGTCATTAATATCTATATGAATCTGTTCAATTATACACATTGCATGTGCAAAACATTAAAATAAAATGTACTATTTAAAAAACGAAAATGTAAATATACTGCTTAGACATGTATTGATATAATATTGATTTAATATTTTTATATAGTTATATAAAGATAATCGGATCTAAAACTAAATATACTGAAGTAGCTATAGTTTATGTACAAACTAGAAATACTGTACCTTTCAGATCGCTATATAGTACTTCTGCAATTTCATCCCTAGAGGTCGCCCTTTACCTTTTGCAACCAGATCTGTTGGAACAGTTTACCGTCATGCTGCACAGAATTATATCTTTGTTTTTAAATCGAAGGACGTAAGGAATTGTTAAATTCACAAATAAATAACAGCATTATTATAAAATGATCCGTGTGCGGTGCTTTCATTTGTATCTATTTACCTTTTATACTACTCTGTTGTTTTTCGATTATATTGAACGAATAGCTGTGTATTTAAATAAGCAATTGTGCTTAGCCAATTTGTTAGACTTATTATTTTCCTTCTCTCCCATAGCGTGTAATTATATATACACGTGGACTTTGAATACAATAGGCTAAGCTGTCAGACTGTGTTACTGTGGGATATAAAGTGTGTGGATCATGGCTCTGTACATGAACGTACCGTTTGTAGGTGGGGATATGTGTGTGTGTGTGGGCTGTGAGTAAAATGATTGTTTGGAACTGAGCAAGAAAACAAAATGGCAGTCATCAAAGTCACAATAATATTGTTTGTACGTGTGTGGTGGAGTGTTTCTTCATTTCAAAGCCTCTTTTGTTTGGCCTATGTTTTGATACTGTGTTGAATAATTCATGACTGAAATCTCTTAAGACTGAATGACTGGAGCTTTTTCATGTTTCATGCCTTTTTCATTATCTTTTGGTTATACACCACTGTGCTGTATGTCCAGAATCAAAAGACTGGTTCATTTCCCACATTGCATTTGTGTAATAATGTGAGACGAATGACAAGGGTGCAGCTGTTAGCGTATATGTTATTTCCTAGTTAATTATTTAATAATTTTGCTGGCTGTGATCCTCTTCCTTTTTATTATTCTGAAACATAGGCAACATTTTTATGGCCATACAATTCCATTGTTGTCTCATTTTACTGAATTATGTCCTTTTAGCCTATGTCAGTTTTTTTTCTGGGCTGTTGTCCTTAGTAGACCTCATTCTGATATGGCTGGCAACCAAAACAGTCCTGGACAGGCCTCTAGTGATGGTCATTGTCCAAATTTTATTTCCAGACTACTTTAGGTCACTTGCTGTCTTTAAAAGCATTCTAGTGTGTTTGGATGTACTGTATATCATTCAACTTTACTTTTTTTATTTTTTTTTACAGGTTTTGAACTTTGTAAGTTTTCTATTCCAGCTAAAGCTTTGGCCACACCTGATACAAGCCACATTGAGTTCCTGCATGCTGACAGTTCTAGGTTAGATTGCACCTAGTACCCAATCCCAGGTTAGGTACAGTATCTGGCGTAAAGATGTTGTGACAGTCTCTGTTAAAAAGGCAAGGAGAACGTGATTTAAGCATCTTAAAAACAGCTGAGTTAAAATGCCCCTGTGTTCTTTCACGTGCTAAAATAAATGAGACTTTTTGAAGGTGAGTATGGACATCCTTAAATGGTGGACAAACCATGTCAAATATATCAATGAAATATGAATGTTATATAAAAATACTTGTTGGCCCTTGAAGTGGCATTGGCCACGTCTGGTTTTACTGTCCTCTCCTCTCCTCTCCTCCTCTACTCTCCTGTGCAATCTTGCTGTCACTGAGCTCTGCCAGCTGCAGCCATGTTGGAAAAGCTCGGGCTCCAGCGGCAGCAGCAGCGGCGCTAACAGCCGGGCACGGCGCTGTTGTGGACAAAAACAGACCAGGACTGGAGTCATAGCGGGGACATTTAAGCAACTAACAAGCCGGTATTAATACCAACGGGCGTATGCGTGAAATTTAAATTTAGTGGCCTGTAGGGGTGTTCGGTTTCGGAGAGTAGGTGCGGCTGGGCTCCGGGGCTAAAACGGGTGAGTATTGATCCCACATTTGAGTGGGAATAACCCACTGTTAGCTCGGTTAGCTTAGCATTAGAGGAATCACACACATTCACTCATACACACACTCACAGACAATAGGTTTAATGCCACTGCAATAGTCGTACTGAGTTCATACACACAAGAGCCACTTTAAAGATTTAATTTGATTGATGTCGAGGTGATAAATATAAAATAAGGCTCATTTTGACACCACGGAGTCATTTGTATTCCTAACAGAAGGACAGTGGTGCAGTGGCCGAAACCACCCCTCAGTGATTCTTCTGCTGGAGGTGCGAAGGTCCAAACGGAAGAGGCTTTCTCTCCTGCACAGCAGCAACCGTGTGGTCAAAAAATGAGCCACAGTGGCTCCAGCATCTGCGACGATCAGGGTGATATTAATGTTAAAAGAAGCCGGTTCGAGACAAAGGGAGGCAGGTCTTACTGAACCTGAGCGGCTCAAGTCTTTTGGGTTTTGCCTGCTGACTTGTCAACCACGGAATACTGTGCTGCTGAGTAGGTCTGAATACTCTTTATACGGTGCTTTGGCATCATCTTTATATTTAAGTTTAAGTGCTTAAATGAAACTAAAACTCACAGGTGTAATTTAAAAAATCGTGACTTAAGGGAAGGTGGACAGATGCCTGATACTGCAAGGCTCCGTGGATGTGATTTGACAGTTTTTTATTGGATTTTTTGGGGAAGGTTAGAGACAACTCTGACCGGTCATGTCTCTTACAGATTTCTACTTTGGTGCTATTTTCTTATATCTTATATTTTCTTATTTGGTGCTATATCTTATTTCCTGCCTATCTCATTTCCTGCCCCCCATCACATCCCTGTGTATGTCCTGCAGCAGCCAAACAACAGGGTCAGGACCGAAACGGTCTCCTTTACACGTGTTGGCGCTGTTTGGTTATAATTTATGTCGAGTCAGATATGGGTAAATGGAGATTTTTATTTTATTATTTTTTTTTCAAAAATCAAAATGATACACATGGCATTCACGTTCGCTTGTGATTTTTATGCAGATGCTTTGCTTTCTGTGTGGAAACAACCGCTCCTCTGTTTGGATTGTCGGACTTCTAGTTAATGTTTGCTGAATTACTTATTCATCGTTTTTGGAATTCTTCGTTTTTTTGCTGATGTCTACATGCAGGTTTGCAGCCAGATTGAATAAAATCAATAATATATTAGTGCTTTACCTTGTGAAATACTAAATGTATATATAATGCTTTATTTATATATTTAAATCTTTATTTATTTATTTATTGTAAATATAAAATGTCGCATCTCTCTCTCCCCAGCAGATGGGGCTATAAACAAAGTTGTATTGCCCTGGTGCATTATTCAGTTTATTTAAATTAAATCCTTAAACTCAGTCAAAACGTTTTTCTACAAATAGATCTAATATATATGTTTCTAGAAAAGTGATGGTGTATAGTAAATTAAGCTAATTGAAGTAGAAACTATTTTGTGGAACAGTAAACATCCAATAGCAGTTTGTCAAAACACTGAACTTAAAACTAAATTGAACCATTAACCATTACATAAAAAAAACCCTTCCAATTCACATCCTTGCTTAAACTGCTTGAAGCTAAAATTAGGGACCACAAATAGTGCTTGATCAGGGAATTTTACTTGGAGCAGTCAGCTTCCTCTGAGGCTCAGGAAGACTAAGCTTATCTGCTAATCCCTCTATTTCACTGCTTTCTATTTGGTTCTGTTGCTGACATCTCTGCATTCTTTGCATTTGATACAGACACCTATTTTGCTGTATTGTACACTGGTATATATTTGTACTCCGGAATACCTTGAACACTTAAAAAATAAACGAAAAATTAGAAAATACAGACAGAATATAGCATCATAACAGCCACTGTCTGTGACACACTACAAAGACTGGAGGGCTTGTTGTAATTTTTATATTTTACAAAGCTTGTACTTTGCAGAAGTTTTGGTTTTTATTTTTTCTTCTTTACTAGAGCTCCCCTTTTAGTAACTCTTTTTAATGAAGAGAGGCAGAACTCAGGAAGCCAACAGTGAGGACAGATCGATGTTCACACCTGTCTGGTTTCTGTCAGGGACATACAAGGTTAAACTAATACGAACATGGCGAGAAAAATGCTTAGTTAGTACATAACAGAAGCAGGCAGCTATTTGGAAATGAAACTCTGCCCCAGTGTGTTTGAGTCCCAAACAATCAGTGGGCGGGAGTTTTCCCTCTCCTATAAGTGACAGCATACAATACAACTAGGAAGTGAAGAGTCAGAAGGAAACATATACAGAGCGTCTGGGATTTTAGCAGAGGTTTAGTCCTCTGTGTACCGACTGCCAACATGCAGTTCTGGGATTTCTTGGGCTGCACCAGCACAGGTATGTGGTCCTGCTGTCGGCTCAGTGAATACATATTGTTGTGATTGGACTAGTGTATGGATCCTCAGTGCGAGGCAGGTAGAAGTGTCTGACAGGATGAGGGCTGGAAAGGAATTTGTATTGCTCACCGCTGTGCATGCAGTTGCATGTGGAAGCCTCAAAGACAGGTAGTGTGTTGAACGCAAACACAGACGTAAAAGGCTTCAATGTGCTGTTGCTCTCTTCTAATTTTCCTTGGAGTAAACTGTGCACTTCCTTTTAAAAAAAAGAGATTTTCAAAAAGCATTGAGGTTTGTTCCATGTATTTGCTGTATTTACTCTCTGTTTGTGAAGCTTACCTGCACTGACTTTTCTCAAAGAATAAACAGGGTGCTTCCCCTTGAATAAGTTTGTTATTTTAGCTTATTTGTCTTACAGGTGAAGTAATTTTTGAAAATGATGAGGTGGAAATAATACGACTACTAAGTATTCAGTACATGCTTCACATTCCTACTACTGTTAATGTGATCAGCCTGGTGACACTGGCTATGTTTACATGTGCAAAATTAAAAATCAGTCACGTTTTATTATCTATTGCCCTATTAATAGAATAGAAATCTCTGACATTTACACCATGTAGTCCTAATGGTGTTTATAAATCTATTATTTGGGACAGTTCTCTATGTAAATGATGATATAATATTGTTCAAAACTTTTGGTTTTCATCCTTGACTTCACTTATGGCTATGAATGACTATAGACATTTCCCATGTATGGTCTACCATCTTCTACTGGCCGTTCACAAGTGGTCACTGCTTAGTACAGGTCACCATGCAGCAGATGCAGACCTGCAGGCGTCTTCACATCATCTAAAGGCGGTCATGAGAAAAAAGTGTGGGAGTAGTATGTTTTCAGAGTGCATTAGAGACGGCCTACTTAGCTACAACTTGGATTCTCTGGTCAAGTGTGGTTTTTAAAATG